CATACACAAATACATAATTGCCGACACTCTTACCCACCTACACATCTCTACCCACACACATACGTACATAGACACATAATCAATCACACAGTCAATCATTCACATACACCGAAGACACACTACAATCGTTTAAGCATATAATCACAGTACAAACACAAGGGCACTCCCTGTTCATGTTCCCAGCAATAGAACATAATATGTCTTCCCCATTGATCCAGACTAGCATTGGCAAACTATGGCCCATGGGCCAAATGCAGCCTGCCACCTGTTTCTGTAAATCGAGTTTTATTGGAATACACCCATGCTTATTCATTTAAATATATCTATGACTGCTTTTGTGCTACAACAGCAAGGCTGAGTAGTTACTACAAAGACTGTATGGCCCACAGAATCTTAAATATTTACTATCTGGACATTTACAGAAAGTTTACCAATCCCTGATCCAGACTCAGCTTCAGAATTGAAGTTGGCAAGTGAAACAATACTAATTGTCTTCAGTGTCTTGGCATTGAAAGATGGTCAGAGAAATAAATGGATGGGATGGATGGATGGATGGATGGATGGGCAGATGGACACATATAGGTAATAAAGCAGAATTTTGCCCCAAATACCAGCGTTCTGCTTGATATAAACTGGGAAATCTTGGGAAAATTAACCTTTCTGGGTCTTAGTTTCCCCATCTGTAAAATAGAATAATATAGTCATTTTTACTGAGGGCTTTTTTGGTTGCAAATGGCAAAAACCCAATTCAAAGCAGCTTAGGCAAAAAGTTAAATTTGTTATATCAAAACTGGGTATGAGGCCAGGTGCAGTGGCTCACACCTGTAATCCCAGCACTGTGGGAGGCTGAGGCAGGTGGCTTGCTTAACCTCAGGACTTTGAGACCTGCCTGGGCAACATGGTGAAATTCCATATCTACAAAAATTAGCCAGGCTGTGGCGCCCAGCCTGGCTAGGAGGCTGAGGAGGCTGAGGTAAAAGAATCACTTGAGCCCAAGAGGCAGAGGTCGCAGTGAGCCCAGATCGCACCACTGCACTCTAGACTAGGCAACAGAGCGAGACTCCATCTTAAAAAAAAAAAAAAAAATTCTCATTAAGGAGATTATCTGCAACCCTGGTTGGATCCAGGGGTTCAAATGTTGTTATCTCCCTCTCTTACCTTGATACCTCTCTAATCTTTTTTGTCTCACTCTGTTGCCAGACTGGAGTGCAGTGTCACGACCTCCGCTCACTGCAACCTTCCCCTCCCAGGTTTGAATGATTCTCCTGTCTCATCCTCTCGAGTAGCTGGGACTGCAGGTGCGTGCCACCATGACTGGCTGATTTTTGTATTTTTAGTAGAGACAGGGTTTCACTAGGTTGGCTAGGCTGGTGTCAAACTTCTGACCTCAGGTGATCCACCTGCCTTGGCCTCCCAAAGTTGCTATGGTTTGAATATTTGCCCCCTCCAAAATTCATGTTGAAATTTAAACCCTGGCTGGGCATGGTGGTGCACACCTGTAGCTGTAGTCTCAGCTACGTGGGAGGCTGAGGCAGGAAAACTGGCTGAGACCAGGAGTTCAAGGCTGCAGTGAGCCACGATCATGCCACTGCACTCCAGCCTGGGTGACAGAATGAGACTTTGTCTCTTAAAAATATATAACAAATTAAAAATAAAAGAAATTTAATCCCCAATGTGGCAATATTGAAAGGTGGGGCCTTTAAGGAGTGATTGGGTCATGAGGGCTCTGCCTTGATAAATGGATGAATCCATCCATGGATTAATGGGTTATCATGGGTGTGGGACTAAGGACTTCCTAAGAGGGACTTGGGCTAGGATGCTCAGCCCCCTCACCATGTGATGCTCTGTGCCATACCTTAGTACCCTGCAGAAAGTCCCCACCAGTAAGAAGGATCTCACCAGGTATGTCCAAGAGAGTCCAAGTACCCTCTTGGACTTCTCAGCCTCTATAACTGTAAGAAATAAATTATTTTCTTTATAAATTAGCCAGATTTAGGTATTCTGCTTTAAGCAACAGAAAATGGTCTAAGATACAGGTGCTCTTCTAGTAGCAAGAAATATGGCCACTAGAAGCCTCAAGCCTAAATTTTTATATTGATTGATCTAAAAGAGACCCTCTTTCTCCTGGCATCCAAACATCAAATCTCATAGAAAACTCTGGTTATCTGTACTTGTGACACATACTCAGTTCTTCAGTCTATCACAGTGGCCAGGAAATGGGGTACTCTGATCAGTGCACTGTAGCTGACAGCTCCACCAAGACCATGTTAAGTGGGAAACAAGTTTCCTACAGGAACCACAGAAAGGGTTATGGAAAAGCAGAAAAGTGGTCTGCATGAACAAAAACAGCCCACAGAAATCTACTTCATAGATTTGTCATGAGACAATCAATTTAAAGCATTTAGCATGGTGCCTGGCACTTAAGTATCAATGAATGTTAATTACTACCATAACTGAGAGACAAATAAATGAAGGGAAACATTAATAAATGAATAATGGTTGAACATACAGACGAACAGGTGACGATGAACATATGAAAAAATAGGTGAAAGAAGGAAGAATTGGCTGATGGAGAGACAAAGACGAGTGGACACATAGACACATGGATGGATGGATGGATGGATGGATGGATGGATGGATGGATGGATGGATGGATGGATGATGGATGGATGGATGGGGCAGAAAAATACAGGCAATTAAATCTGCTCTATTATATACTCTAGATCTGGAATGGGAAACAGAATAGTACTCCACAATAGTGTCTTCTGAAAGGTCTATCTCTTGGGTCTGGCAGAACAGTTCTCTGGGTGACTATACACTGACCCAGTTCTCCTCCCTTTCTCACTTGGAATGCAAAATCTTGAGATAAGGAAGAGGTGACAGAAACAGATAAAGAACAGGCTCTGTTCTAGTCCCACCCCAGAAACAGAATATCCTTCAATGTTTTAGCCTAAGAAGTCACATTGCCCTAGGGTATAAAACCCAAGGCAGGCTGCTTTCCGGAGTCCTTGGCTGCAGTGCAAGTGGAGCATAGGCAGATGAAACTTCATCTGCCCTGGGCAGCTTTCCTGAGCCTCGGGGCTGCCTCACAATTAATCCTGGGGCTCTGTTTCCCTTGCTGCCTACCTGTAAGTAATAAATCCATTTCATATAACTTGTTGCATATGTTCTCCCACTGGACTCAGACAAATTGTACACAATGAGCCTGCTTCGTTTCCCTGTTACTCTGTGAGCTGACCAGACCCTCTCCTCAAAACTCCCTCTCAATTTCCAGGATAGGGAAGCTACAGTAGAGAATGGGGGTTTTCTAGGCCAAGTTGTCCTCCAGCTATTTTAACTCAGCTCTGGAGCACAGGAAAATGGGTCAATAAGGGAGAGGGACAGTGCTGGCTGGGCCAGGAGGGTGAAGTCCTAGGGGCCAGAGATGAGAGATAGGGGAGCTGAACCTGCTTCCAAAGAATGTTCCCTTTAGCTTCACTTTGCAAAGGAGGAATAGATCTCAGATGGTGGATATGTAGGCACTGTGATGGGCCTAGGGAGATCTGGAGAATCTGGGAGGGGACCTTCTCATCCTTACCCTGCTCCTGTGATTGTCCTCAGGGAATCTAGGAGGTGGCTATGTCCCATCTTTCCCACTCCTCCTACCCCCAGGTGTCTTAGTACTACAGAGAAGAGCTGGCAGTGAGGAACCTAGGGAAGAGACACATTCCTACCTTTGACCCTAATCTTGAACCAAACCCTGACTCCCAGCCTTGAGACCGATGGCTCAAATGCCTCCAAAGGAGCAACATCACAAACCTTGAAAATCTTCCCTTAACGGTAATAGTGCAAACTCTCCTACCCTTGTCCAAACTGCTTATTGCTGAGATTCTCAGAGCTAAAGCCAAAAAGTGAAAAACAGGTGCAGCCTACTAAGGAGAGTTGTGAAAGAGAAAAGTTTCCTCCACAAAAAGGGAGAGAGAAACGATGCGGAGATATTCAGTGGGAAGGTATTCTGCTATCAACTCATGGACTGCAATTCACTTCTGACACTAGCCACGGAGAGTTAGCACCAGACTCCACAGGTTTAAGAGAAAGGTCCCCAACAAGACTGTCCCCAATTTAGATACCAGCCACAAGTAGGGTCTCCAAGCCACCCACATTTCTGGCCAACTGGCTACAAGTCTGGGAGGTTCCCAAAACCCCTGTCAGTTTTGATAATTTGCTAGAATGACTCACAGAACTCAGGAAAGTGCTGTGTTTAATTAGTTTATTAAGGGTGTAAATCTGAAACAGCCAAATGAAAAGACACACAGGATGAAGTCTAGGAGGGTCTCAAATGCAGACCTTTTCTGTGGTTTCTCCCTGTGGAGACATAAGGTGCATCACCCTCCTGGCACATCAAAGTGTTCATCAACCAGAAAGTTTTTTTTGAGATGGAGTCTCCCTCTGTTGCCCAGGCTGGAGCGCAGTGGCCAGATCTCAGCTCAATGCAAGCTCCGCCTCCCGGGTTTACACCATTCTCCTGCCTCAGCCTCCCGAGTAGCTGGGACTACAGGAGCCTGCCACCTCACCCAGCTAGTTTTTTGTATTTTTTAGTAGAGATGGGGTTTCACTGTGTTAGCCAGGATGGTCTCGATCTCCCAACCTAGTGATCCGCCCATCTCGGCCTCCCAGAGTGCTGGGATTACAGGCTTGAGCCACCGCGCCCGGCCCAACCAGAAAGTTTTATGAGTTTTGGTGTCCGGAGTTTTTATTGAGATTTCCTTACAACAGCATAACTGAATTACTGGCCACGTACCTGAATTCAATCTCCAGCGCCCACTTCCACCCCAGAGGTCAGCCTGGCCCAAAGCCCAACCCTCTAATCACATGGTTGGTCTTTATGGTGACCAACCTCTAACCTGAGTCGTCTCATCTCTTAGCATAAACCCAGGTGAGTTCCAAAGGGCTCATGAGTAACAAAGACACTATTACTTGGGAAATTCCACAGGTTTAGTCTCCCTCTCAGGAGCCAGGGACAAAGGCCAAATTCTTTATTACACACCAGAAGGGGAGGAAGTTTCTGAACGTAGAAAATGAAAGTTTTAGGGGGCCATAAACAGGAGACAGCCACAGCCCCCTGCAGATCCACACACACTCACTGACCCTCAGTCTTCCAAGGACTCCCTTGCCCTCATGATCATGATCCCTCTCCTGCTTGCTCTTCCCATCCAACCTCACACAGTCTCACAGACTCCACACAAGCAGAAGGCCTCTTGCTGCTCTCAGGGACTCTACTCAATTGTCCATCTCTGCTCATCCTCCATGGCCTCCTGTGTGGCACCACTCCTCTTCTCGGCATACTGGTTTTCTTGCCAGGAGTGAGTAAAATGGGGCAGGGGTTAAACGGTAAGGTGAGGGGCATAGCAGGGATCAACACGCAGGTCTCACGGAGTCTGTAAAGGAAGCTGAGTTCATGTTGTGAACCCAAAAGTATCTGAGACAGGTCTCAATCAATTTAGAAAGTTTATTTTGCCAAGGTTGAGCACACATTCATGAGATGACACAGCCTCAGGAGGTTCTGACAACACGTGCTAAAGGTGGTCGAGGCACAGCTTGGTTTTATACATTTTGCGGAGACATGAGACATCAATCAATACCTGTAAGATGTTACACTGGTTCAGTCTGGAAAGGCGGGACAACTCGAAGTGGTGGCTTCCAGGTCATAGGTAGATAAGAGACAAAAGGCTGCATTCTTTTGGGTCTTTGATCAATCTTTCACTGACTACACAATTTACATGGAGTGGGGAGTAAAGGAATAGTCACACTGATGCCTTAGTCTGGCTCAGTGAATCTGCATTTTTGCATAAACAATAGGGCAGAAGAAGCAATTAGATATGCATTTGTCTCAGGTGAGCAGAGGGATGACTTTGCGATCTGGCCATTGTACTGCACCTGTGAAGATAAGCTATCAGTTTACATTGTCAGGGTGAAATTCAACACAACCGTCTTAAGGTAAAGATCTTGAGGCCCACAAGGAATTTCCCTGTGGACCAATTGTGAGGGAGGTAAGTAGTTTTTTTTTATCTTTGTAGTTATCTCTCTTAGGAATAAAATGAGAGGCAAGTTTGCCTGACACAATTCCTAGCTTGACTTTCCCCTTGGCTTAATGATTTGGGGGTCCTGAGATTCATTCTCCTTTCACAATGTCAACATTCAGGTCCAAGTATGAACCTGAGACTGTACATATGCCAAATGGATGTGCCCTTGTGATGACTGTACATCCTGTGTGACATGGGTATACCTGTGCATTGTGTGTATTCCTTTGCAGTCTATGTGTGTGCCTGTGTGGTGTGGGTATGCCTTTGTGTGCACCTGTGTGATATAGCCTGTACCCCAGCTGTTCCTGTATGTATCAGTGCCTGGATGGGTCCTGGAGCCATCTGGCTGCTCTTCTCTTTATAGGCTCTGTCTCTCTAGCCTGCTCTTCCCAGAGGAAGAAGAGAACAGTGCATGTGGGTGGAGTAGAAAGCAACACTAAAGCTCTGGACACAGATATCCCAAGTTCCAGTCAGGGCTGTGGCCTTCCCATCTTAAGCCCTAAAGCTAATACTCACTCCCTAGCTCTGGGTGATACCAACAATTCTGAGGACTCTGCCTCTTACCAAATCAACACCCAATTCCTGGGGACATTTTTGGTGCCTTCTGCTACCTCCTCTTCAGGGATGGCTGCAGGGCACTTTGTCCTATGAGTTGGGGTGGAGAATGTCCAGTCTCCTCCCCTCCCAATCACTTCCTCCATCATCCAGGTCTCCATTCACCATCTTACTTCCTTCACTTCTCCTTGCCCAATCCCTCCCACAAGGAATCCCCTAAAACAGGTTCCCAGATGTGGTCCCCAGCATCTGCCCCTCACACCAGGGCCTTTCAGGAAGATGAGTTCTATGGCTCCATTCTCTCTGACTCCAAATTCACCACACTGAGAGGCAGCCTCTAGACCAGCCCTGGATGGATTGTACCATCTGGAGACTGCAGAAGACCTCTGCCAAGGCAAGCCTGGCCCTCCCCAGTCCTGTCTGCCCCCTCTGAGCCCCATCTAAGATTACAGCCCATGGCCCTTTCTCTCCTTCCTTTCCCAGAGCAAGAGCCACAGCAGTTAGGCCATGGGAGTGCCAGAGAGAGCCCTGGCCTGGGAAACAAAGGACCAGAAGAGAAGACCAGGCCTCTAGTTCCTCGGCACCAGACCTGACCCAGCCAGGCCTGGAGTGTCAACGTGAGTGTGAATGTGAGTGAAAGGGTGAACGTTGTGAAAAGCACAGATTCACAACTCCCAGACTGCAGTGCTTCCAATAAAACCACCTAGCACCTATGAATCTGTCTGTCTTGCTATCTGTATGTGGCTCAGGTAGGGGAAGTCAAGTATGAGAGGGAGAAAGAGGGCGAGATGGGTGAGAGAAGACAGGTATCCATTCCTCACATTTCAACCAGAGGAAACTTTCACCCCACTTATTTCTGATCACTCCCTCCTATACAGTCGGCCTAGCCCCAAGACTGTCTTTCCCCTTACTCAAACCAACTATGGCTCAGTATCAAGCCTTGGCTGGGATGTTAGAGGTCTGGGGCAGCTATTTCCAACCTCCCACACTGGGTTAATTGCCCTTTCTTGGCACCTTCTACTTCTTCCCGCCAGTCTGCCCCATTTATTGTAAGAATCTGACTATTCTCTTTTGATCCTCCCAGCTCTACCCCTACCTCTCAGAGGGCAGAGGTGGTGCCTGTCTTGTTTGTTGTTTGTGGGTTTTTTTTGTTTTTTTGGTTTTTTTGGAGACAGAGTCTCGCTCTGTGGCCCATGCTGGAATGCAGTGGCATGCTCTCAACTCACTGCAACCTCCACCTCCCAGGTTCAAGCAATTCTCTGCCTCAGCCTCCCAAGTAGCTGGGATTACAGATGCCTGCCACCACGCCCAGCTAATTTTTGTATTTTTAGTAGAAACAGGGTTTCACCATCTTGGCAGGCAGGTCTTGAACTCCTGACCTTGTGATCCACCCACTTCGGCCTCCCAAATTGCTGGGATTAAAGGCGTGAGCCACCGCGCCCGGTCACCTGTCTTCTTTACTACTACATTCTCATGCCCAGCACAGTGCCTGACACACAGATGGTCATTCAGCAAATATCTGTTGATTGACTGTAGGGAAAAAAAACATATCACAGGAAGATAGGTCTCAGGCCAGCGAGGAAGGGCAATGACCCTCTGGACATTCAGTGGCTTAGCTGAGGCCACTCAACCAGGTATTTCCGTAGCCTGGCCTTTTCTAGACTGGACTCTCTCTGAGGACCTATTCCTCCTCAGCCGAGGGTCATACAAGACCTCTCTCGGCAGGCAAGAGAGGCACTTGGCAGGGCAGAAGTCAGGGACGGGTAGAGGAGACGTGGGGATTGGGAAAACTTTTCTTGCTGCCTGGTGCGGAAGCCTCGGCCTCCCAAGGTGTAGCTCCAAAACCTGACTCCACACCTGTAAAAGAGGGTCCTTTGCCCGCATCTTAAACAACCAACTCCGCCCCCGGCCTCACCCCCTAAGATGACGTTTCGACTTCGCCTCCTCTGGGAGACATGCAGACCCCACCCCTTCCGGGGGACAGGCAAATCTAGTGCGCGACAGCATCCCTGTGACGTAATGGTAACGGTCCGTTTCCGGGGTGGAGCCAGGGAGGGCGGGAGTTTAGGCTGCGCTGACCCCTCTCAGCCCCCCCTCCAGGTGACCCCAGCCCCTGAAAATCCTCACCCAGGGCCCCAAATCTCCCAGCCCCATGACCGCCAAACCTCTCGCCCTGGCCCCCTAAATGCCCCAGGCCCCGGAGATGACCGGCCTCCTCACCCCTTAACTTCCAGTGCCTCCCAAATCTCCAAGCCCACCCTGTCCCGTGGTGGCAACTGAGGCTTCCCGGGGGCGTCGGCCTCAGATTACCTGAGAACTGGGCAGCCTCGTCCTGAGCATGACGGAGAAGGGGACCTGGGGCTAGGGAATCCCTGATTCAATCATGCCGCTCCCCAGGAGTCGTTCGGAGCCCAGGACATGTCGGGAATGAGGAGATACGAAGTGGCGCTGGAGGCGGAGGAGGAGTGAGTGGAGGCGGGTTCTGCGGAGGAGGAACCAGGCGGCTCCGGGGTGGGGGAGGGTGGAGTTCTGCGGGGGCGAGGGGTGGGCGGGGCGAGCCTCCGAGGGGCGTGGGCTGCGAAGGGTGCCGATTTTAGGGGCGGGGCGGAGCCTTCCTCGAGGGCGAGGCGCCGTGGGGCGGAGTCTGTGGGGTCAGCTCCGCCCCGCCCCGCCCCGCCCCGCCCCGCCCGCCTCTGCCCTCTCTCTGCAGGATCTACTGGGGCTGTTTCTACTTTTTCCCCTGGCTGCGCATGTGGCGGAGGGAGCGGAGGTGAGGGGGCTGCGATACCGCGGGCCAGCCCCGGGCATGGACGAGACTCAGTCTCTGAGGACCCATCGGGGGGATTCCGGTAGCTCCCGCCCCGCCTCATGCCAGTGTCGGGTCGCCCCACAGCTCGGCGCACCCCGGGGAGCAGAAGCTGGAGCCTCTGCGAGGCCTGATGAGCTGTCTGTCCAGCGGCCTGGGCCCTGCTCCCCAGCGCTCGGGTCGTAGCCTCCCCCGCCGCAGCCCCACCGCCGCTGCCCAGCCAGCCAGTGCATTAAAGATTTAAACCGAAGCCCACCGTACTGACCTCCTGACTCTGCCGCCGCTGTCGCCATTCGAGCCGAGCGCCCCTCCCCACACTGGCTCTGTTCCGTACTGACAGGGCGTCCCTCCCTAAAAGGGTGCCCTTCCACGTCAAAGCCCCTCATCAATGTCAGGCCTCCTGTTACTATCAATGACTGTCTCCCCCAACCCCATGCCCCAAAAACCCATACTGTGAATAGCCTATATGAAGAGAACTAAATAATCCTGCCTGTTACTCCCTTCCTCCGAGCCAGGACTTTGCCAACTGTCTGAAGAATCTTCTCTGCTGGGAGTGTATCTCAAACATTTTAAGCAGAGGTGTAGGATGCAGGCTGTAAATGAGAAGAGGGGGAGATTCCTAGAAGCTGCCTGTCACAGAGGAGGGACTTGGGTTGGTGACCTTTCCTACAGTTCATACCCCAACTTTTGGCTCCTCCAGTCTGATCCCAAGTTTAGAGATCCTTGGCATCAGCCTACCTAGCAGTTCTTGCTCCCTCCCTAGGAGAGTCCAAGGGCCACTGCTCTCTGCCGCCCCCTTCTGTCACCCAATCAGTCTGGGACCCACTAACTCAAGTGATGAGAATCAGAGGCTGCTATGTGGGCCTACCTTCAGTTAGGGACTGGATCCAGCACCAGAAAGGGCACCACAAGATTAAGTTAAAGAAAGAGACAGCCCAGTTTCTGGCTGGGGCCAAAGCTTTCAGCCTGCAGCTACCCCTGCTACTGCAGATTTTGGCTAGGGAGAAAACTTGGTCTTAAAGGGGAGAGGTGGGTGCACACCCAGAAGCATTTGCTTTCTGCCTTCTGAAGGCCTCTGGACCAACAAGTCCAGGAAAGACCAGAAAGTATGTATCGCACAGCCAACTGATGGAGAAGGTCTTTGATAAGACCGAGGAACCTGGGAGATTTCCTTGGGATTTCCTCAGTGGCTACACCCAAGCCTTGGAGCGCAAGAGAAAGGCCTAAGCCCTATCCCAAGAGAAAGCCTACTCCATAGAGAGTGGCTGACCCTACAACAGATGACTGCAACAAGATAAGGGCTGGATTACTGCTTTATGACTTAGTTTATGTTTCAAATATAGAGCAGGACTTGCAGATTGAGATCCCTGGACCAGGAGTGGGAAATTCTTCAAGGAGCCAGGGGCACTGAACTTGGCAGCATACCCCCACCCTAGGCAGTTCCCAGCTTCCTGGAAAGGACTGGATAAAGATGAATAGGAGCTTTGCATTGAGGGAGGGGCTAAAGAACAGCTGCGTATGGGATTAGGAGAGAAGTGGCTATAGCTGGAGGGTGGGATGCAGGGAGGTATAGGAGTTGGACATGAGGGTGTGACTGAACCTGGGTAGGGAGGGGGGATGTTCCTCCAGGCCCAGGAAAGGGCTGGAATTTGAGTAGAACAAGGATGTAATTGAGTACTTGAGTCTGATGTCTTCAACAAGTCAGGGACTGGATCTGGAGACCCCAGGCCCCTGCTGGCAAGAGGTTGGCATTCCTGGAACAGGACTAGACAAAAACAGGAAGGTAAGATTCATTGGGCCTTTTACCTGTTTTGACAACAGTAACCTAGCACCAAAGAGCTTTTATCTTCCCTCCTTATCTACCCCACCTTTCCTCCTTGTCTCATCATCCTGGGGAAAGCTGCCACACCTCAGCATCTCCAAAGCACCCTCAATATTACCAAAAAGGGCCTTCCCCCAGCTTCTCTGAATGTGGCTGGCCTCAGCCAAGACCCATCCTCAGCCAGAAGAGCCTGCTCTAGGAACGCATTCCCATCAGTTTCTCCTGATAAGACAGTCAGGTCAGGCCAGGAAGTGGGGAGGAGAAGATGAAGGCAAGCTGGTGCTCGCCTGCCCGCTGCTCCCACCCCACCCAGAACTCCCCTATCAGAATCTGTGTGTGCTAGTGTGAATTTGCTTGTGATTGGATGACTGTGAAAACACAACTGGGTGGGATTGGGACTTTGAGTATACCTGGGGCTATATAATTTTGTCTATGGTTGTCTGATCACGAGTATGACTTTGTGAGGTTGATCGAGTGATTGAGGAGTGACTTCGAATGTGTGGCTATGCATATTTGAGTGTGAATGTCTATCATTAGAGGTTGCTGTGGATGCTTGACTGCCCTTACTCACTGTTCTATCAGTCCCTACATCACACACTAATCCTTCCCTCAGCTTCACTGCCCAGAGCTTAGGAACACATGGGAAATGGCTGTCCTAGATGAGGAAGGAATCTGTGGCAACAGACCAAGAATTAGGGCCCAGGAATGTCACAGGATACACAATACATCTCCAACCACCTCTGACTCACCTAGTGCCCCAGGTAAAAGGCACCCAGATAAAAGGTAGGGGAGGAGGAGAGAGAGAGAAGGAAGAGTCTAGGCTGAGCAAACATGAAGGGGCCCTCAACCTTCTGCAGTCTCCTGCTCCTGTCATTGCTCCTGAGCCCAGACCCTACAGCAGGTGAGTACTTGGGGGTATAGAAAGCTGGGGGTCTGGGTGAATGGGATGAAGTTGAAAAGAACCAGGAAATCCAACCTAACCTCCAGCTGTCTGGCAGAGAGGTTCTTGGTCAGGATCCCTCTGAACACATGGCCCTGTTGCCCTCTAGCATTCCTACTGCCACCCAGCACTGCCTGCTGTACTCAGCTCTACCGAAAACCACTCTCATACAAGCTACTGAGGAAGGTCATCCGGGTGGAACTGCAGGAGGCTGATGGGGACTGTCATCTCCAGGCTTTCGTGTGAGCTCCCACCCCTGACACCCCTGACTCTAATCTAACCTCAGTCCCAACCCCTAATGCTGATCCCAACCCCAGCCCTAACTGCTAATTCTGATGCCAACTCAGGTTTTCATCTGGTCCTTGCTCCTAACCCCTGGACCCTAATCTCATCCCCAAGCTATGGCCATAGCTTTGTACCTTTCTCTACCCAGGCTTCACCTGGCTCAACGCAGCATCTGCATCCACCCCCAGAACCCCAGCCTGTCACAGTGGTTTGAGCACCAAGAGAGAAAGCTCCACAGGACTCTGCCCAACCTGAATTTTGGGATGCTAAGGAAAATGGGCTGAAGCCCCCAATAGCCAAATAATAAAGCAGCATTGGACAATAATCTCTAAGTACAATCTCCAAGAACTTCCTTATTCTCTTTATTCACACCTGCGCAACCCCTGCAAGGGGAAAGGCCAAGAGCCAAGGACCCACACACACTCCCCAGGCACCTGCATACATGCATGCAGAGAATATATGTTCCCTGCCTCACAGACACATGGTCACACATGGACACAGATGTACACATTACACACATTCCTCGAGCAGAACTCCAACTCTGGGGTGAAATCAGAGGTACAGGCACCTTTCAGCTGGCAAATTTGAAATACAGGGTCTCACAGAAATGGGCTCCAAACAGAACTTCCAGCTGAGACCCAACCATAGGGATCTACTGTCCATCCATCCACACCAGCAAGACAGAATTATAGGTGGACTCTGCCGAAGCCCTCCTGGGTCCTCTATAGGTTTGGAGCTCCTAAAAGAAGCAGGAGGCAAATCAGGAAAGACAGTAGGACTGGATCTTGGCCCAGACACCCTGAGAATGAAGGAGGTGACTCAGTTCTAAGCTTAACACTCTGAAGATGAGTAGAGGAGCCCAGCTCTGAGGGAGCCTCTTCAACACGCTGAAGATAAGGGAGTGGACCTAGCTGTGGGCCCAGGCACATTAGGAATGAGGGAGGGGACCCAGCACTGATCCAAGACACCTGGAAAAAAAAGGATGAATATCCAGCTCTGAGTCTAATACCCTGGAGGAGTATTAATACTAATACCCTGGAGGGGAGTCCATCTGGGGTCCTTCCTCAGTACCCTGAGAAAAGGGGAAGTGACCCACTTCTTAGCCCAGGGACTCAAGAATGAAAGGCCTAGCCCTCAGCCTAGACATCATTAAAATGAGGAGACCCAACTTGGATTCCCAGCATTTTAAAAATGACTAGGGCAGCCAGCTTTTAATCTGGACACTCAAAATAGGGGCACACATATCCAAGTACAAATCTCCTGGATGTCCTACTCACCTGGACGCCTGTCCACTGGAATCATTGGGGCCAAGAACCCAGGCTTTGGGGATCCATCCTTCCCGCCCCGTCTCATCCTCAGCCTGGGGCATAGAAAGGTAGCTGTCTCTCCAACAATGTGGGGTATCTCAGTCTCCTCCAAAGGGTTTATTAGTAAAGGGTCAGGAGAGGAATCAGTTAAAATCAAGTGGGGCATGGGGGATGGAGGTGTGGGGAGGTAGTTCCAGAATCAGACAGGTTCAGTGGGCAGTCATGAAGGGTGGAGATGAATGTGGTCTATGGACATCAGAGCATTTGTGAGGATCAGAGGCTGAGGGACCGATGGCAGTCACTTACCAGAGCCCCAGTGCCAGGGCTCCAGCCATCAGTCCCAGGAAAGAAAGGATTCCCAAAGACGCCAGCACAGCTACCTGCTCCACAGAGTCCCTGTGATCTAAGAGGGAGGGCCACATGTTACTGAGAGCAAGGCTGACCAAGCTTGGTGTCCCCTTTTCTCTGGGTTTTTCACTCCTTTACAACTCTTGCCCATCTGCCCAAGCTCACCAAGTAGCCGAGGGTGTGGTTGGAGGGAGGGGCTTGGAGGAGCAGGGCTGTCCACCTGAGGCTCCACCTCTGGCTGCATGTGTAGCTGGCCCCAAGCTGGTACCTCCTTTGGTACGGTCCCTAAAGGAAGGCAAGACACAATAAGTGTCCATACGCTGGTGGGGATGGGGGTCACGTCCTGCGCTCAAGGCCAAGGCCTAGATTGGAAGTCAACCCTTCTAGGAGGAGGAGCCTGATAGGGCATGGCCAGTTCCTAGGGAGCATCGCAAGCTCCAAGCTTGTAGAAGTGGAGCCTGTAACTGCAGGGGTGGAGGCCAAGGGGAAGGACTTAAGCTAAGACAGGGCTGTAGGCAAACAAGAATGAAGTCTGGGACAGTAACTGCGGTGCCTGCATGGGCAGGGCATATGTCACCTGGCTGTCTTTTGGAATTGGTTCAGCTGATAGATGCTTTGGGGTGGGACCTCTGCCCTTTTCTTTGGCTTTGTCTCTCACCAGTGCTCGGAGTTCCCCAGGCCTCTGGGCTCCAGGTGCTCCAGGTGCCAGCATCCAGAAAGTCCCGGGCACTGACTCGTACGGCATGGGGCAGCCCAGCCACAGCATCTGTGATCATCTCCTCCAGTCCAGCTGGCTCCACCTGGGGGTAAACATGACTCATTGTTACCCAGCTTGTAAGTGCAGGGCCTTCCCAGCCACCGTCTGCAAAGAGCACCCCTTGCTCCCAGTCTCATCCTAAAGCCTAGTAGAGCTGTCCAGGTCTCATGTTGGGTGTCTGGTGGGGCTGAGTCTACACCTAGTGTTTGTAAGACAGCAGTAGTGATTACTTAGAGAGGCTGTGGCATCAGGCAGCCTGGGTTCAAATCTTTGGTGAACCACATATTGAATGACCCTTTGGGCCTCTCTGTGACTCAGTTTCTTCATTTGTAAAATAGAGGTGAATATACCTAAACAAAACAATGTATGCAAAAAGTGTAGCCAGGAACCCCACGGGAAGGCAGCACTAAGTATATATTAGTTATTATCTGATGCTGCTGCTCCCCAGTCCTGATACCAGCCAACCTTTAACATCTCCTGAGATTCTAATTCACTGCTATCCTCAGCTGGGGATATGAGTGTTTGTAGGAGACGTGCCTCTAGGTAAGGCACTCCTTTTCCTAAGAGTTATTTTTAGGCTGGGCACCATGTCTCACACCTGTAATCCCAGCACTTTGGGAGGCCGAGGTGGGCGGATCATGAGGTCATGAGTTCGAGACCAGCCTGGCCAATATGGTGAAACCCCGTCTCTACTAAAAATACAAAAATTAGCCAGGCATGGTGGCAGGCACCTGGAGTCCCAGTTACTCAGGAGGCTGAGGCAGGAGAATTGCTTAAACCCAGGAAGCGGAGGTTGCAGTGAGCCGAGATCATGCCACTGCACTCCAGCCTGGGTGACAGAGCGAGACCCCTTCTCAAAAAAAAAAAAAAAAAAAAAAAGAGTGATTTTTTTTTTAAAAGCCATTGCTATCTTCCCACAGATGGGCTTCACATCTTAGTTATAGCCCCACAGGACAGACACTCCATCTGTCAGTCACCACTGCAACCCAGCACCCAGTACAAAGCCTGGCCCACAGGGAAGTGTTGGGTCTTCAGTGACCTGCCAGCGCTGGGAAGCTACACAGAACACCCAGGATCATGAAATCAGAGATAGGACCCACAGCCGCGGGTTGGGACGCACTCCAGGCCTCACCGTGGACCAGGCTGGATGCTGTGCCGGACGGTACTGCAAACGGAACTTGAGCAGGAAGTGGGGCTGGCGCGGCCAGGAGGCAGGGTATGTCCAGCTGGCTCGCAGGCGTCGGGGGAAACCTGGTACCGACTCTACCCGCAGGCCCTGGGGTGGGTCAGGGCGCACTAAGGGCGTCAAGACACAAAGTCAGGGTAGGCTATGGGTCCCTGTCACTTCCCTACCACTTTCCAAAGTGTGTGTTTAAAGGAGCCTTAGCCAGACACTCCTGAGAGGGGAGGGGAAATCTTAAACCTGATCATTCATTAGACTCAGACCGGTCATCTGTATTATGAAATGGGCTGAGGCCGGGTGTGGTGGCTCATGCCTGTAATCCCAGCACTTTCGAAGGCCAAGGTGAGAGGTTCACTTGATACCAGGAGTTTGAGACCAGTGTGGGCAACATAGCAAAACCCTGTCTCCACAAAAAATTTTAAAAATTAGCCAGACATGGTGGCACATGCCTGTAATCCCAGCTACTTGGGAGGTTGAGGTAAGGGGATAGCTTGAGCCCAGGAGTTGGAGGCTGCAGTGAGCCAAGATCACGCCACTGAACTTCATCCAGGCTGGGCACAAAGTAAGACCCTATATCAACAAAAAAAGGAAGAAAAAGAAAAAAAGAAACCACCTGAGATCTGTGGGTGGGCTTTTGAAATGCTTGTTGAGTGAATAAAAGAGCAATTCTTATTTTCATCCAAGGAAGATGAATTGGCCCAAATTCCAGCTAGAGTTTTAGTGTCCCACTCCCATGCACAGGTTAAGGAAGGAGGGGCTAGCAAGGCAGGACATGACATATGGCTGCATTCAGTACAGGGCCCAGAGCAGGGCCTGCTCTGCGGCTAGGCAGCCAGTCAGGCAGTGTGGGTAGCAGTAGCGGCCTCTAGAGTGTGTGCTGAAATAACCATGCCTCCTGGGCTCTGATCCCTTTGCCTTCTCAGGCTCCACAGGGCCTTCTGTGTGTGAAATGGCGTCTATGTTGGGAGGAAACTGTTTGGGATCTCTGGGAGTGGAGAGATCTGAGTCCATTTGGGGTCTCTGTGATGGGGGTCTGGGGGAGGTCTAGGGGTGGGTACTCACAGATGCTCTGCAAGCTCACATCCAGCAGGCGTGTGCTGGCGCCCAGTGGGTTCACCTCAGTCACATTAATCCGGTACTGGCTCCAGAACTCAGCCCCGTGGACAACACAGCGGGCAGCACCTAAGGGATCCTGTGGGCATGGCCAGGGCCCTGTGGATGGACTCCTCCTAGAAGGGAGGACATGGTCTTGGGCTCTGAAAATGCCTACCGTGGGACCCAGCCGGAGCCCCCACATGCTCCCTCATGTCCTACCTCTGGCTATCAGCTCCTAGAACTGTCTTCTTCCTGGTGGGGAGGGGGCCGTCTGAAGTCATGAAGGAAAAGAGGGCCTTCTGCCCTCTCTGAGGCTTTCCTCAGAACCTACCTCCCTGCTTCCCACACCCATGTTGTGCCAGCATACCCAAATGTGTAGGCATCCACACCCGATCACGCACACACCTGTAGGAGGTGAGGTAGCGGGTGGGTAAACCGCTGATCTGGCTGGGACTCCAAGTGCAAGAGAAGTTCTCATAGTCAGCTGCTTGGCAGGAGACAACAGGGCGGGCTGGAGGGTCTAGAGGCAGAGGGTACACCTGGAGACTGAGCAGTCCTCAGGTCCTCCTGGTCCCAGAGGGCTTATTCAGGTCCCATACTCCCTCAGGATCCTCTTGTGTCATCACTGCCACCCTCCCCAACTCACAGCCCAGCTGCAGGGTCACTGTGCCCCCAAGTGCACCATCCAGCGTCTGGCAGATGTAGGTGCCCTCATCAGTGCTGTCTGCCTGGGTCAGGACCAGTTCATGCCCTAGCCCAGAGTCAGGTCCCTGGAGCAGCCTTGGCTCCCCGTCCCGAAACCAGGACACTGGGTCCCTGGAAGTAAGATGAGGTGACAATGGACAAAGACAAGATGTCAAGCATAAGTCAGACCATGCCACAGCTCTCCATTGGCTTCTAACTGCATTTGCAATAGAACCCAAATGCCTTTTACTGGCTTTCAAAGCCCCTTGTGAGCCAGCCCTTGCCTTCTTTTCCTTCCTCAGCTCCTCTCTGTCTCCCCCTCACCCACTGAAAACTCCAGCTACATTGGTCTTCTTTCTATTCCTTGCGAGTATTGAGCTCATTCCCACCTCAGGGCATTTTGCACTAGCTGTTCCCTCTGTCAGGAGCACTTATACCTTAATGTGCGCACGGCTGCCTCCTTCCTGACCTTCAGAAATCAGCTTCAACATCACCTCCTCAGAGAGATGTTTCCTAACTACCAATTAAAAAGTAACCACAGGCCAGGCGCAGTGGCTCACGCCTGTAATCCAGCACTTTGCAAGGCTGAGGCGGGTGGATTACTTTAAATCAGGAGTTTGAAGCCTGACCAACATGGTGAAATCCCGTGTCTACTAAAAATACAAAAAAATTAGCAGGACCTGGTGGTGCGTGCCTGCAATCCCAGCTACTTGGGAGGCTGAGGCAGGAGAATCACTTGAATCCAGGAGGCAGAGGTTGCAGTGAGCCCAGATTGCACCACTGCACTCCAGCCTGGGCAACAGAGTGAGACTGTCTCAAAAAAAAAATAAATAAATAAGGTAACCACTCAGTTGTCCTCTTCAACATCCCTCTCTTTGGCTTTTCTGCCCTGCAGGTATTACTATCTGGCAAGATTCTCCTTTGCTTATTGTCTTCCCCACTAAGATGTAAGCTCCGTGAAGGCAGGCACCTTGCCTGGCATTAGCACTGCTGTATCCCAGAGCCTAGAATAGACCTGGCACTTGGCAGGTGCTCAAAACATACCAGCTGAATTTTCTGTTGAATAAGGATGGTTAGAGGGTTAGGACAGATAAGAGAGGTGAGGATTACGGACAGAGCAGGCAAGGATGGGAGGAGTGGGACATGAGGACTAGGCAAAGTCAAGAAAGGGTCATGAGTGTCAGACCAACAGGCAGGGGGCACTTACCCAGCAGTCACTCCAGGACAACACAGCTTCACGGACCTGCCGGGCTGCCCATACTGGACCCCTGTGGAGGGCACTTCTGAGGTGAGGCTCTTCCTTTACCCCCCTCCCCACTTTGTGAGAATGGCAGATAAGAAGCAGACTGTTAAAACCTGGGTGGTGGGGGGCTCACTGGATCAAAGCATCATGTTATAATCTGGAGACAGAGGTCAGAGAACAGGGTAGAGAGGGGACCTAGGTTGGATGACAGGGGCAGCGGTGGTGTCACAAGTTAGGCATGGGAAGGGGCCACAGTGAGGGTGGCAAGTCACAAGTCAGAGTTGGGGGGTTGTACAGCAGGGTTCTTCTCACCTGGGGGGCCCCAGGCCTGGGGGCAGGAGGAGGAGGCAGACACCAGGGCTGTAGCCACGGCCACCAGGACCCTGCTCAGCCCTGAGCAGCCGCTGCTCATCTGTGGGGAGAGGTAGAGTCAGAAATCCCCGACCCCTGAGAAGGGAGGCTTAAGCCTGGCTCTTCCTCTCCAAAACTGAGCCTTCCTAGGGAAAAACTGATGCATCAAGTGGGGTAAGGCTGTTAGAAATCACTGGGGGAACTGATCTGAGGTCCCCTTTCCCACCGTATACCCAGTGCTTTGCATGTGCGCACACACACACACACACACGGACACACACACCCCCTCACACCCTCCATCTCAGTCCTGGGCTTAGGGCCCAGAACAAAAGCCGGAGGCAACAGACTGTGCCAGCAACTCCCCCTCCACCGCCCTTGGCGCCCACCCCTGGCACCAAGCACTGGCACCAGCTCAGCCACTCCCATTAACCCCTCCAGTCCAGCTGTTGGGAATTCTGGTATTTACCCCCACCTGGTCCAGGGCTTATCACCACCGCTGATTAACCTGGGCAGACCTTATCACCCTGGGGGAAGGCTGTCATCATGGATCTGAGCCCATCTGGCACTCCCACCCTGAGGCCTACCCCTGCTCTGGCTGCCAGGCTTCTCGCCTGAACCTGGCTCCTTGCTCTGGCTACTTGGGCCACTCAGCTGGGCCTGGCTCTGACACTTCGTTGGTCTCCAGTCTGTGAAGCTGGATGGGGCTAGGGTGCAGGCTGGGGCTGTGTAGTTAAGCAGATCCAGATGCCCTGGCTGCTGCCAGAGGCTGGGGGTGGGTGAGGAGCCAGCAGATGGAGATGGAGACAGGGTGGCGGGGAGGGGAGGGGAGGGAAGGGGATGGGAGGCTGAGAGGAACTGGGAGCCTGCAGGAACAGGCATGGGGGCCACAGCACCAAGAGATACTCAGAGATCAGGACTAGGAGGTGATGGGGCAGTGTGGGAAGTGTTGGAAAGACTGGATTGGGGTCGGCGGAAACTCAAAAAGCTAACAGTGTGTCTATATTGCAGGTGGGGGATGCTAGGAGAGAGAGATTCTGGAGGAGGGGGAGCAGAAGGAGGAAGGCAGTGGTGAAGTGGATGGAGAACGAAGGGGCAGGCAGGGAAAAGGTTCTGGGTACAAGACCAGAAGAGGAAGAGCACGGACCCTTCAGGAGTAGTAGAGCAGAGCAGGGCCTCCATGTGTCTGTGTGTCTGTCTGAGTGTGTCCAGTTGGCTCACCCCTGGCCACCCAGCCACACTTACCCTGCTTAGCCCCACCCTACCTCGGTGATCCCAGCGGCAGAGTGTCCATGGCCTCCAGGACTTCCTCTCACCAGCTACAGCCCCGGTCTCCTACTCCACTCAGTTCTGGGACCCCAAAGCCATCCCCTCCTTCCCCTTCCCTGCCCCGCCCCCTCTAAGCCCTGGAGCTCCGCTGCCCCTAGCCAGGCCCCCTCCCCGCTTCTGCCTCCTCCCTCCTTCCCTCCCACCCAAGGCCCTGTGAAGGGAAGAGGCCTCCCCCAAGTCTGGAAAGGAAGCCACAGACACAGCCAAGGCCAGCAAGAGGGAAAGGAGGGTGGCTAATACCTATGTCCTTGTCAGTGAGAGATGCCCTGTGTTTTCACACAGCCAGACATAGTCACATTCACACATGGACTCATGACGCACAGTTAACAAAAGGGCATGCCTTTGAACACACGTGGACACAATCAAATGAAAAATCAGATACAAACTCCTCCTCTTTTCACTCCTCACCAAATGTTTCCTTAGGGCACAGCTGGCTGTGCTTCCAGAAGAAAGGAGGCCCCAAGTTGGGGGATATAAGGAGAGGCCAAAGAGTGCAGTTCCCCCTCCCCTGGAAGTTCCAGCCATTTCTCACCTCCCCCTCCACTCTTTGGGCCCCAGCACCAGGAAATGCCTTTGGTCCCTTGGTGCCAGATACACAAGACCCACAGTTACCCTTAGACTTACACACTCTCACATGCGGTCACTCACAGTCACACAGGCACAGCCACACAGCCTCAGACTCAGATACACTTACACATATTCATAAACTCATGCAGTCACACACATACACAGCCCCTACCAGGGCTCACAGCACCGCCTAAAAGCAGCTCCTCATCATGGTCTAAGCCCCCTCTCTCAGGGAGCTCTTAGCAGTGGCAGACTTGCATCCCATCACTGTTACAGGCCCCCAACTAGCCAAAGAGATCAAGATCAGCAGGGAAGGCAGGCACAGGGGCACAGGGAGAAACAAAGAGACAGGAGAGGCAAAACTGGAAATGCACCCACACAGAGACCAGGGGAACAAAGCTATGAAGAAACACGCAGAGATATCTCTAGTAAGACAGCAACAGGGAGAGAAAATGGCATGTAAGGGAAACTGAGTCAAGCAGGGAAACAGAAAGGAGCAGTAGACCTGATGCTGGGGATTCTTGAGCAGAGGAAGAAGGAGGGGAAGCCACGTGTGTTGTGGGTGTGTCCGTCCATGCTGGACACTTAAGAGAAAGGTCAGTCCCATGGGCTCTTGAAGTAGGTCCCCCAATACATGAATACAGCTGTACTCCCACACGGTTTAAGTTAGGACCCAGTACACACACATAGTCACAAACCTCACTTTTGCTCTGCTACTGCTGAAGTCACACATTGGCACACACAAAGCCAGCCACCCACTCTCATGCTGGCAGACATGGTCTCAAACCCCACAGAGACCTTCCCAAAACACATTCCCTAATGTGGTCACAGTCCCTCTCACACAAACACACAACCCAGTCCCACCAAAAATGTGCATTGACAGATACACACATAATCCCACACTTGCACAGCCACATGCAGCCCCAGCTCCATGCACACTGACACACGCAGTCACATTAGCTGACAGCTGCACCAAGTGACACTCAGAATCGCACACAATGATACTGTCACACAGTCACAGACTCACAGGCACACACACACTGACAGTCGTCAGTCACTCTCGGCCTTTCAGATCATACATCACCCTGCCCCGCCCACTCGTGACAAGACTTTGGCGTCTACACCAGGCCTCACCTTCCGCGGCCGCTGCCGCCAGCGCCCTCTGCCCTCGCCCTCTGCCCCGGCCTCTACTCCCTCCCGCCCTGGGCCCCCGCAGTGGGGGCGGCTCCGCCCAGACGCCAATGGAAGGAGAGGAGTGAAATAGGGGGGCTCCTGGCCCATTGGAGACTCCAACTGCCAATCACCTCCACCCCCACCTCCGCCGGACACTTCCTGTCCCGTCCCGGACTGAAGAGGCTGCCGGGGACAGAGTCTGGAGCTGGATTCCTGGGTCTCCGCCTGAAGGCCTACCCACCCTGGAACAGCAGGACTGGAAACAAGAGCCACTGGCCAGGTGATTGGAGAAGGTGAAGGTGCCCCTGACTCCAGATAAGGAAGAAGGAGGGCTGTGTAGGGCAGTGGTTCTCAAAGTTTGCTGGATATTGTGGTTTGAAAACTGCAAAACCCCACCCCATACCAATTAAATCATAATCTCTGGAGGTTGGACCTAGACATCAGTATTGTTTAAAACTTCCCAGATGATTCCAAAATGCAGCCAAATCAGAGATGTAAGGTGTGTCGGGTATATGTATACCTCAAGAAACCAGCCACCCACCCAGGGCTCTCATCTACTCCCCAGTCACGGGAAGCTCGAGGGAAATGTGTGCATACTGTGTCTATCAGATCTTCCAGACCAGAGCAACACGGCCAAGTTCCAGGTACTTCCCCTTCAGGATCTCAGGGAAGAAAGACCCTGGTCTGGAAGGCAGACAGCCAAGGTTCTCCTGGGCAGGATTCAGTCACTGTCCAGCCTTAGTGTGATTTCCCCACCCACAGGCTTGGTTCCCCTGGGAAAAGAATGAAGGCAAAAACCATTCTGGCCATCCCTGCATCATTCACAATCCCTGCCTTCACCTTAAAATTTGGAGGACCCCAGGTGGCATCAGGTCTGCTGTGTTGCATAGACTGTTGTTCCCACAGCATTGCCAGGGAGACAGGTCCAGAGGGGACAGAATAGACCCCACGTCACTCTGAGAGCCATACCTTCCTTCCAGGCCCTGGGGTTCCTAACTCTAGCGGTCCCTTCCCTGTCAGAGCTGTTTCTGTTTGTGCAATGATTGGGGCACAAGGGCAGCAGAAGTATATGGTGCCCGCACATGTGAGAGTCTGGAGGAGCCAAGGACACAAAGCCACGTACACGCTCCCTACATGCTCTCTACCCGCCCCTTTAGCCCCTGTGGGCTGGAGCAGAGCCAAGCTGCAGCCACTCACAAAGCCAGGGTTCTGGCCAGCAGCCCAGGATCTGGCCACTGACCACTGGGATCAGGATCTAGCTCACCCGCTCCCCGTCAAACCCTCAGGCCCAGGCTTGGAGCTGACACCCTAGGTGTGGTGGCAAAGGGGGCTCTGGCCTTCCCAAAGCCTCAGCCACAACCAAGACACAAGATTTTAAAACAGTTTCCTAAACTGGGATACTGTCATTACACCAAGAGTAAGAGAATCTATAGGCTAGATGTAATACTGAATATTAATTTTGTTCAGAAATTTGGGTGGAATTTTTGCATCAAGATTTTACACATTTGTAAACAAAGAAAAGTTGTAGCTGGAGCTATGCCTTTAGCTTTTAACCCTGTATCTCTGAAGGTTCACACTCCTCTGATACTAGAGTATGTGATTAAAGTTTGAGATGCACAGTTTTATTAATGCTATATCTGCCCAAATTCCAGGCCAGGATTCAAGGCCCTTTCTGCTTAATTCAGCAAGACTGTTGAAAAAAAAAAAAAAAAGGACTCAAGGCCCTGTGGTCGGCATGGTCAGGCGATGGTTGCTGTCTCCCTGTCCTTCTGCCCCAGGCTGTAATGAACATCAGGAAGTGCCCTTAGTCTCTCCGCAGCCTGGAAAAGGGACAGGGAGCAATTAAGGAGGATAAGGGCTGGGCTGCCAAGAATGGTGGTATGGACTTCTTTTCTTCTTTTTCTTTTTCTTTTTCTTTTTTTCTGAGACAAGGTCTCGCTCTGTTACCCAGGCTGGAATGCCATCATGCCATGATCATAGCTCACTGCAGCCTCAAACTCCTGGGCCCAAGTGATCCTATCTCAGCCTCCCAAGTATCTGGGACCACAGGTATATGCCACCACACCTGGCTAACTTTTTAAATTTTTTTTTGTAGAGACAAGGTCTTCCTATGTTTCCCAGGCTAGTCTTGAACTTCTGGGCTCAAGCAATCCTCCCATCTTGACCTCCCAAAGTGCTGGGATTAAGGCGTGAGCCACCACACCTGGCCAATGGTATGGAGTTCTGGGTGCTCAGAAGATACTTTGCTGGATATTGTGGTTTGAAATATGAATATGAAATATGAATGCCACAGGCCCACTGGGGGTGGGCCTGTGGAATTGTGAGGCTGGTGATAAGGACTGCTGGAGCCTCCAGGGGATGAAAGAGTTGAGCAGCTCCTGAGTCCCAAGGAATGCCCAGGTTGTTATGGGAACTATCAGGGTCATGACTGTTGGGATCCCTGGAGGAAGCAGGAGAAAAAGGAGATCTGAGGACCATACTCTCCTTCCAGGCCCTAGGGCTCCTAACTTTGGCAGTGCCTTCCCTGCCAGAGCTGTTTTCTGCCTTGTGCAATGATTGGAGCACAAGGGCAACAGAAGTATCAGGTGCCTGCACATACTGCATGTGAGAGTCTGGAGAAGCCAGACTGCTCTGAGTCCTGACCTGCTCAGGGGTGAGGTCCCTCTGAGCCTGAGCAAGCATTTCGTAGCCAACCATGAATTTCCGGACAGTGGCAGAGCGCAGGAGCGGAGGGTAGTAATGAGCGTGCAGCTGCCAGTGGTCCCAGTTGGCCCCGGCCTCGGATCCTGTGGGAGCCCCTGACAGAAAGAAGAGAGATAATGGGGAGAGAGAGCCCTTTTTCAGTTATCCAGCTTAGCCCCTACCCCCAAACCCAGCCAGGTGTCTGAAAACTACATCTCCCAGGATCCCTGCCTAAGAGCTGGCAGGAGATTAGAAAGCATATTGGAGACATATTTTCACCAAGTTTGCTGCTCCACCCTCAGTCCCAGCATCTCTGCTCTTGCCACACCCCCCAGCAACTGTTTCAAGGCTTGCTCCTTTGGGGTTGCAGTTCACTGGGTTGGGCCCCAGGCCCAGAAATAGTGTTGGGGCTAGATATAGGTACTTGAAAAGCCTCACCATGCCAGCCCATGGAGTAGGGAAAGGATGTCTCAAAGAGGTTGTCGTACTTGGTCAAGAGCTTCTTCATGATGGAGGCTAGATCTGGAATCAGAGCCTGACTCTCAGCCTGGGGTCCAGATGCTGACCCTACTGGGAGCAACCCCCATCCAGTGCCTAGCCCCAGGATCCTACTTGGGAGACTGACCATCACGCTCAGCAGGGGTCAGCTCAGGTAGCCGCTGCACATGCCGACGGGGCAGCAGCAGTGTCTGGTAGGGCCATGTTGCCCAGAAGGGGACCAGTACTAACCAGTGCTCACTGGTTAGGACCAGACGTTCCTAGGCAGGCAGAATGGATGGGAAGTCATCAAGATGACCAAGATGACATAAGAGCTGGGGTGGGGTCAGCAAATAGGCAGGGGAAGCAGAAGAAAAGAATGTGCCCAGAATCTGATGCCTTCTCACCACCTCCACCACTAACCACCCGAGTCTAAATCACCATCATCTTTCATTTAGATTACTGGATTATTGCTAAGGCCTCCTAGCAAGTCTCTCTCTCTACTAGTTCCCCTCTAGCTTTCTCCTTTACACACCCCTCTCGTGGGGTAAGAAAGTTAGGGACTCCTTGGGAACACAGGGCTTGGCTCTCTCCCACCTTCCTGAGTAGCTCCTGGTGGCTATACTCCATTAGCAGGGGCTCTCCGTGCTGACTCTTATAGGTCTGCTGAGATCGCTCCTCACGCTGGGCAATATCTGGCAGGAAACTGCTGGCCCACACCTGTCAAGGGGCAAAAGCAGAGAAGAACAGACAGGTCCTTTACTTCCAAGCCTCCACATCATTGGCATATTTCCTTTGTCCCATCCATTAATCCAGTTCCTGTGTCCACAGTGCTGGCTCAGACTCAGCGAAGAAACCCACTGGAGCCCCTGACACCCTTACCTGGCAGTGGGGATGGGGGTTGGAACAGCCCATCATGGCACCTTTGTTTTCAAAGATCTGTCAGATAGGGATAGGGAGCTTTGTTACCCAAAAGACACCAAGTCAGCTCCCTCCTGACCACATCCTGTGGAAACAGAAATGTTACTCCCCAGAACCAAAGCTTCATCACCCCCTCCCTGCCCATCCAGGGGAAGGGGCGACCTCACAAACCTGCACCCAAGGGTACTGGGCACCCAGCTCCTCTGTGACTGAGGCCCATGCATCAACAACAGCCCGGATCTCAGGGACCGACATGAGTGGCAGCGTTACATCCGACCAGGGGTGGAAGCACATGACCTTACTGGGTGGTGGGGGGGGCGTAAAGATAACTGAGAGGTAGGGCTTGGCTCTGCTATGGGCAGGGCCCAGCCCCAATGCTGAGTCTCCAACCCTGGTTTGAAAGTTGTAAGGGGAAATCCATAGTTACCAGACTCCTCGAGCAGCCTTTGCTTGGAAAAGGGGATGATCACTGGGTCCTGAGGTAAAGGAGTATGACTCTCTGCAGCAGAAGTCCCTCAAGAGGTCTAGCCACCCTCCTCCCCAACAGCAGTTGGAGCCAGGTTACCTGGACTGGGGGCATCAGGCTGCAGAGCTGGGAAGTCGTTGTCAAACAGGAAGGTGCTATCGTAGTGGGGATTCACCTACTGACAAGGATGGGCTAGAAGCACTCACTGCCCCATACCACCAGTTACCTGGTGGGCTTCAAAGACTGGACAGGCTACAAGTGAGTAGGCAAGGCCCACTCTAGGGGACCAAAAAGCTTGGTGGGATATGACCCAGAAGGAGGTTCACTACCCCTGTGGGTGGAGGACAGCTCTAAGAGGGAACTACTCCCTGTGGCCCAGCCTGCAGATGCAGGGCTCTACAGGCTTACCTCTCCATTGGCTCGGGTGGCCCCGGGACACAGAGGGTTGAGGGGGTCATGGCGGGGCACTGTCTTCAGAAGCTGGGGCTCCACTTGACCCTGCCAGGGCCGCTTCATGCGGTGAGCTGACACCAGCACCCACTCATCCTGCAGCGGGTTGTAGCGTATATGCTGATGGTCTAGGGGCAGACAGTTAAGATCAGTCCTCAGAGCTCTCTAGCTCCCTCTCTCCTGGGTCTCACCCACCAGCAGGCCCAAGCTCGGAAGCGTCCTCTCCGCCCCGTCCCGCTCAGGAGCTAGAGGCCCAGGATTGGACCTTCCCAACGCCAATTGGCCTGCAGCTCGTACACAGGCGACTGTATGCCTTGTCGGTCTGGCTCGGGATGAGCGTTCCAACCTTAGGTGGGGGCGAGAGCTTCCTAAAGAAGGGGAGGGCTCGGCTCCGCGCCCCAGGGAGTCCCTGCCGCGGTGCAGTTACCGCTTGCCCGGAAGGTTGCTGCTGCGGCGTCCGCCTCTGACGCCTGCTGGCGCTGCTCAGGATCGGTTCCGCTGCGCGACATGAGGCCACCGGGGATCCGCTGGAAAATCTACAGGGAAGTGCCTCACCCTTCACTTTCTCCGTCTACACCGCCCCTCCCCGCGCCGCCACCGATGATTGGCCAGCCGCCAGCACGTGACTGACGGCTGCCCTGCCACCTGGGGGCGGGGTTCAGAACAGCTGTGAACCCTGGGGGCCGACATTGATGATCCCACTCCACCCAGAGCTGGAGCCACTGCACTGGAAGAACCTCTGTGAAAGCTGCCTACTGCAGAATCCTTGGGCTCCAGGATGCCTACAAGACTTGCTTGCTGCAATCATTCATTTGATCTTTCATTCAGCAAATATTTACCGAGCATCTACCATGTGCTAGACACCTAGGCTGTGTGAAGCATTGGGCTGCGCAAGTCAGGCATGGCCTCTGCCCTGGATCAACAGTGCCTCAGTCACCTGCTCAGTGGCTGTAGTGGAGGAGAGGCAAACTTGGTGGGGCTGTGTGGAGTACTATATCCATATCCTATCCCTAAAAGCAAAAACAGATTTCGGAAAAAGGGCTGAGTAACCATATTGCCTTTCTTTCTCTCACTCTTGCTCTGCTTCTTCCTCTCTCTCTCTCTCTCCTACACACACCAAGACAGCACAAGAAGTGGGAGGGGTAAAAGAGCTATAAAAATTCTACAAATGGCCGAGCTCGGTGGCTCACGCCTGTAATCCCAACACTTTGGGAGACCAAGGCGGGCGGATCACGAGGTCAAGAGATTGAGACCATCCTGGCCAACATGGTGAAATCTCGTCTCTAGTAAAAAAAAGAAAAAAAAAAAAAAAGCTGGGCGTGGTGGCGCACACCTGTAGTCCCAGCTACTCAGGAGGCTGAGGCAGAAGAATCACTTGAACCCGGGAGGCAGAGGTTGCAGTGAGCCGAGATCGCGCCACTGAACTCCAGCCTGGCAACAGAGTGAGACCTCGTCTAAAAAAAAAAAAAAAAAAAATCTGAAAATGTGGGGAGTACAGGACTATCAGAAGCTCCAGCCATCATCTAGGTGGGGCCTAGTGTTTCCTTTACACATCCCCTTCCCTTTTCTAAATTTTCCTTGGATCGGACCAATTGGCTAACACTAGGATAAAATTCAAATGAATTCCTCCCCTGGTACTTTTTTTTTTTTTTGAGACAGAGTCTCACTTTGCCACCCAGGCTGGAGTACAGTGGTGTGATCTTGGCTCACTGCAGCCTCCACCTCCTGGGTTCAAGCAATTCTCCTGCCTCAGTCTCCCGAGTAGCTGGAATTACAGGTTCATGCCACCACACCCGGCTAATTTTTGTATTTTTAGTAGAGATGGGGTTTCACATGTTGGCCAGGCTGGTCTTGAACTCCTGACTTCAAGTGATCCTCCCGCCTCAGCCTCCCAAATGGCTGGCCCCCTGGTACTTTTAAAGAGCCATCTAAATATTGTCTAAACCTCTTCCCCATTTCACAGTGGGGACCAGAGGACTCAAGGTCACCCAGAGAATTAGTGGCCAAGCTGAGATTTGAATGCGAGTTTCCAAGACTCTTCCCAGTGCTGTGAGATGCCTCTGAGACTTCAGTGGAATGTAGGACAGAAACCCAGTGACTTAGAAGTTGAGCCATAGCAGGGACGTCCCTTCCCCCAGTCCAGGCCAAAGCAAGCTAGGTGTTTTGCAATTGAGCTGCAAAAACTAGGTCATGGGTCATTTACTTGATCTCTGCCCTAAGGTCCTCAGACTGTAGGAGACAGGGAGCTGGGGACTGAGAAACCGGGATTTTACCTGTCCCACTGGCTGTTCATATTACCCAAAGAGGTGAGACAGGAACGGGAGATCTGCTTTTCTGTTGTCTCAGTTATATTTGAGTGACTAGAGTTTGTAGATAGCTCCACTTTCCCAAGAACACTAGTGCTTCAGTGCCACACCCTGAATCATGCTAACTAAATCCTGACCCCCATCAGGAACATCTTTCAGGAGCATCTCCATAACTCTCCTCTATGACTCCCCAAGGTCATTTTTTGGAGGAAGAGGAGAATGACTAAGATGGAGCCTACCCAGCTCCCTCCCTCCCAGATCCCAGAGGTGTTGTTACAGTAAAGGGGTCCCAATCCAGACCCCAAGAGAGGATTCTTGGATCTCATGCAAGAAAGAATTCAAGGTGGGTCCATAGTGTGAAGTCAAAGCAAGTTTATTAGGAAAGTGAAGGAATAAAAAAATGGCTACACCATAGACAGAGCACCTCTGAGGGCTGCTGGTTGACCATTTCTATAATTTTATGTTTTTTTTTTTCTTTTTTTTTTTTTTTTGGAGACGGAGTTTCACTCTGTTGCCCAGGCTGGAATGCAGTGGCTTAATCTTGGCTCACCGCAACCTCTGCCTCCCAGGTTCAAGTGATCCTCCTGCCTCAGCCTCCTGAGTAGCTGGGATTACAGGCACCCACCATCATACTCGGCTAATTTTTGTATTTTTTAGAGACAGGATTTCCCCATGTTGGCCAGGCTGGTCTTGAACACCTGACCTCAGGTAATCTGCCCATCTCGGCCTTCCCAGAGTGCTGGGATTACAGATGTAAGCCACTACACCTGGAAAAGCTTTCTGAAAGACCAGATAGGGGAGCTGTAGGCCCAGATGATCCCAGAAAGCTGTTCCTGGAATGGGGAGCAGAGACCAAATTTGGGGGTTAATCCCTGCTGCTCAGGGTTCTTAGTGAGTTGTCCAGTCAGAAATGCCACAGAAGCCAGAACCAATACAAAAGTATGTTCCCTCAATCCTTCATTCTCCTCTAGATAATCCCTTCTTTATCCTTAATTTCTCTCCCAAGTTTCTTTTTTTTTTTTTTTTAGATGGAGTCTCACTCTGTCGCCCAGGCTAGAGTACAGTAGTGCAATCTAGGCTCACCGCCTCCTGGATTCAAGTGATTCTCCTGCCTCAGCCTCCCCAGTAGCTGGGATTACAGGCATGTACCACCACACCCGGCTAATTTTTGTATTTGTAGAAGAGACAGGGTTTCATCATGTTGGCCAGGCTGGTCTCAAACTCCTGACCTCAGGTGATCTGCCTGCCTCTGCCTCCCAAAGAACTGGGATTACAGGCATGAGCCACCATGCCCAGCCTGCTAAGTTTCTTAAAAACATAGGCCATCTTCCTGGCCTCTACTCTTAGCTGCATGGTATATTGTAACGCATCTTTTGCCCTATATTTGTCAGGGTAAGTAATCTTAGTTGCTGTAACAAACACTCCCAAAACTCAACGGCTTAGCACTACAGTCAATTCTGGGGATAACAGGGAGGCCTGTTCCAAGCAGGATTTAGGGATCCAGGTGCCATCCATCTAGTAGCTATGCCATTTCCTAGGGTCTCAGAATACTCCACTAGAGATCCTCTATAACTACAGTAGTAGATGAGGGAAGAAAGAAAATGTAAAGAACTTCAAGCTGGGCATGGTAGTATGTGCCTGTAGTCCCCCAGCTACTTGGGAAGCCAAGGTAGGAGATCACTTGAGCCCAAGAGTTTGATACCAGTCTGGGAGTGACATAGCACAATCCCGTCTCTTAAAAAAAGACAGAGAGAAAAAAAAAAAAAAAAAACAGAATTTCAGAGGAGACTTTAGGAGCCAGCCCTGGAAATGTCATACATCATTTCTATTTCTATCTATATTTCATTGGCCAGAATGCAATCACATGACCCAGAGTAGACTGTGGAATCTAATCTAGCGGTCCAAGAGCAAGAGGAAATGGATTTGTGAATGTATAGCATTGTCTCTGCCACATACCCCTACTGAGAAGTCTAATTATCATTTCCCATCATATTATTCAATCTCTCAATTATACTTCACTGTGTTAACCCTTCATTCCATTACTTTCTTTTTTTTTTCAGACGGAGTTTCGCTCTCATTGCCCAGGCTGGAGTGCAATGGCATGATCTCAGCTCACTGCAACCTCCGCCTCCCAGGTTCAAGCGATTCTCTGGCCTCAGCCTCCCAAGTAGCTGGGATTACAGGTATGCGCCACCACGCCTGGCTAATTTTGTGTTTTTAGTACAGATGGGGTTTCTCCATGTTGGTCAGGCTGGTTTTGAACTGCCAACCTCAGGTGATCCGGCCACCTCAGCCTCCCAAAGGGCTGGGATTACAGGCGTGAGCCACCACGCTTGGCCCATTCCATCACTCTTGAGAAAGTAAAGAAACTTTTTATCTGAGAAATGCCAGCCCCTTTTAATTATCAGGCCCAGAGGCATTAAAATGTGACAGCATGGGCCTGGCGCAGTGGCTCACGCCTGTAATCCCAGCAATTTGGGAGGTTGAGGTGGGCAAATCACGAGGTCAGGAGTTCAAGACCAGCCTGGCCAACCTGGTGAAACCCTGTCTCTACTAAAAATACAAAAAAATTAGCTGGATGTGGTGGCGGGCGCCTGTAGTTCCAGTTACTCGGGAGGCTGAGGCAGGAGAATTGCTTGAACCGGGAGGCGGAGGTTGCAGTGAGCTGAGATTGTGCCACTGCACTCCAGCCTGGGCAACAGTGGAGACTCCGTCTCAAAAAAAAAAAAAAAAAATTAGGTTAAAATAAAGTGACCGGGCACAGTGGCTCATACCTGTAATCCCACACTTTGGGAAGCCAAGGAGGGTGGGTCACCTGAGGTCAGGAGTTAGAGACCAGCCTCAACATGGCAAAAACCTGTCTCCACTAAAAATACAAAAATTAGCCACGCATGGTGACGCACACCTGTGGTCCCAGCTACTCGGGAGGCTGAAGGAGGAGGATAGCTTGAACCTGGGAGGCGGGGGTTGCAGTGAGCCAAGATCGCACCACTGCACTCCAGCCTAGGCAACAGAGTAAGAATCTATCTCCAAGAAAATAAAAAATAAAAATAAAAACCACTTATAAAATAAAAATAAAAAATGCTTGTATCAACACTCCCCAAGGCAACTTGGAAGTGTGTACCGAGCAGTTGCTCTCTACCTTGGCCCAAATAAACTCTCTATATTAATTTTGCCTCAGCTTTTTCTTTTTTTCCTCACTGTTGTTTTTGTTTGTTTGTTTTTCTCTTTTGAGACAGAGTCTCACTCTATTGCCCAGGCAGGAATGCAATGGCACAATCTCCGCTCACTGCAACCTCCACCTCCTGGGTTCAAACGATTCTCCTGCCTCAGCCTCCCGAGTATCTGGGCCAAGTGAGTGGCACGCGCCACCATGCTTGGCTAATTTTTGTATTTTTTAGTAGAGATGGGGTTTCACCATGTTGGTCAGGCTGGTCTCGAACTCCTGACCTCGTGATCCGCCTGCCTCGGCCTCCCAAAGGGCTGGGATTACAGGTGTGAGCCACTGCGCCCGGACTGTTTTGTTTGAGACTGAGTTTCACTCTTTCACACCCAGGTTGGAGTGCAATGGCGCGATCTCGGCTCACCACAACCTCCGCCTCCTGTGTTCAAGTGATTCTCCTGCCTCAGCCTCCCGAGTAGCTGGGATTATCAGCATATGCCACCATATGCCCAGCTAATTTTGTATTTTTAGTAGAGACAGGGTTTCTCCATGTTAGTCAGGCTGGTCTCAAACCCCTGACCTCAGGTGATCCACCTGCCTCGGCCTCCCAAAGTGTTGGGATTACAGGCGTGAGCCACTGTGCCCGGCCCCTTTTTCTTTTTCTTTCTGGAGACAGGGTCTCCCTCTGTTGCCCAGGCTGGAGTATAGTGGCATGATCTTGGCTCATTGCAACCTCCACCTTCTGGGTTCAAGCGATTCTCCTGCTTCAGCCTCCTGAGTAGCTGGGACTACAGGCACCTGCCACCACGCCCGGCTAATTTTTTGTATTTTAGTAGAGACAAGGTTTCACCATGTTGCCCAGGGTAGTTTCGAACTTCTAAGCTCAGGAAATCTGGCTGCCCGCCTTGGCCTCCCAAAGTGCTGGGATTACAGGCGTATGCCACTGCGGCCAGCCCTTTTTTTTTTTTTTTTTTGAGGCAGGGTATTGCTCTGTTGGCTCACTGCAACCTCCACTTCCCAGGTTCAAGCGATCCTCGCACTTCAGCCTCCTGAGTAGCTGGGACTACAAGTGTGCGCACCTACTCCTGACTAATTTTTGTACTTTTTGCAGAGATGGGGTTTCACCATGTTGCCCAGGCTGGTCTCGAATACCTGGACTCAAGTGTTCTGTCTGCCTCAGCCTCCCAAAGCGTTGGGATTACAGGTATGACCACTTCGCCCAGCCTCAGTTTCCTTCTTTAAGGTCAAAAACGTATGAGGGTACTCTTTTCCAGTTCCTTTGTGTTTTATATATATAACCATCACGTAAAATGCTCACCATGTGGGGCACTAACTGCTTTACAAATATTAACACATCTAATCTCATCAAAATGAAGATACGTACTATGAGGTAGGTACTTTTGTCCATTCAATTTTACCGGTAAGAAAACTAAGTTACAGAGATTTTAAGTAACCTGCCCAAGATCAGACAACTAGTAGGTAGCAGGAGCCAGGCTTTGAACTCAGGCAGTCCAGCTCGAGTTTATTTCTTAATCACTGCACAATGCTGCCTCTTTTCTCTTTTGTTTCTTTTCCTTTTTGCTTTCTTCTTCCTCTGCTTACCCTTTGCTTTTGGTGATCTCCAGGGCTCTGTCTTTAGCCTTATCTTACTCTATTCTCTCTCCCTGTGAGATTTTATCAATTCTTAGAGGTTTTCTGTAGACTCTCCAGTGAGATCCCTAAGCTGGGGAGTGGGACCATTGTTTCTACCCATATCCCTAATGGTCACTACAGAACTTGGCACATACAAGTGCCAACAAAATATCTGAATGAATGACAACTCCCAGCTCTACCTCCAGACTGGAGCTGAGCTTCCAGACCTGGATGCTCAACTGCCCACTAGACATGCAAAGGATGTTAGCCAAATAAGGGGAAAGTGGGGATAGGGTAAAGGGGGAAAGAGTATTCCAGGAAGAAGAGATCAAGCCCTACCAACTTCATTTCCAGAGTTGTTAAGCTCATTTCTTTCTTCCATCTCCACTGACACAGACCTTCCCTCTTACCTGGCCCATGGTCATGGTCTCCCTGACTCATCTTGCTCCCCTCCACTCGGCAGTCCTGTGCCACTCGGTGGCAAAATCTAATCCCCTTCCTCCCCTGCTGATAACCCTCAGCTGGTTTACAAGGCCTCCTCTCACATTTTGTGCTGCATAACAGAGAAGGAATTGTAGGCCCCTGAAGACCCCAAGCTGTCGCTCCTCGGGGGCCTTTGCTCTAGGGGCCGGTCCCTGCGAACTGGCGTGCCCCCTCTGCGCGCTCTTAAAGACACAGTTCAGGTGTCACTGCCTCTGGAATGCCCACCCTAGGGCTCCCAGCTTGAACTGCCTCCCCTCCCCTTCAGTCCTGGTAAAGGAGGGCCCTAACAATCGTTGAGTCCCAGAAGGCTCCACTTCCGGGTTCGTCTGCTTCAACCAGCCAGTGAGCTCGGGCGAGCCAGTCCATTCTGGGTCTCACTACCCCCCACCCCTATCCGTATGTAGAGTGGCGCTAGGTCAGACCTCGCCTGAAGACCCTGCCATCTGCAGCTGGGCGACTTAGCCCCGCCCCCTCGCCGCCCTTGCGCGGCACCGCCCCACTCTTTCGTGCTCCCCCCGAAGAAATGGTTCGACCGAAGGGGCGGTGCCAAGGTGACTGGCCGCTCCTATTGGTCAGGGCGAACCGTACCACGGCGGTGGCGGGGGAGCGCTTCGTGGGCAGCCGGCGGGCTCCGAGGCGGTGAGTGCAAAGCCTCAGACCCCTGCTCGCTCCTGCGTTGCGCCGTGCTAGGCCGCCCGCCGGGATGCAGTGGGCCGTGGGCCGGCGGTGGGCGTGGGCCGCGCTGCTCCTGGCTGTCGCAGCGGTGCTGACCCAGGTCGTCTGGCTCTGGCTGGGTACGCAGAGCTTCGTCTTCCAGCGCGAAGAGATAGCGCAGTTGGCGCGGCAGTACGCTGGTGAGCGGGCAGAGGGCGGGGAGGGGAGCGGCCGGCCCGGGAGCGGAGCCTAGGGTTCCGAAGGCGCCATCCCCGGACCCAGGACCGGTGCCGGCCCTGACTCCGCCGCCCCTCTGCCTCCGCCAGGGCTGGACCACGAGCTGGCCTTCTCTCGGCTGATCGTGGAGCTGCGGCGCCTGCACCCAGGCCACGTGCTGCCCGACGAGGAGCTGCAGTGGGTGTTCGTGAATGCGGGTGGCTGGATGGGCGCCATGTGCCTTCTGCACGCCTCGCTGTCCGAGTATGTGCTGCTCTTCGGCACCGCCCTAGGCTCCCGCGGCCACTCGGGTCAGTGCTAGCGGCGGGCCGGATTGGGAGGCTGGGGTTGTAGAGGGGCCCATGCCCTCCTGTCTGATGTTTGGCTGGGCCGTGCGATGGCGCGAATACCCTGATAGTGTCCATGCGATTGTCACTCAGGGCGCTACTGGGCTGAGATCTCGGATACCATCATCTCTGGCACCTTCCACCAGTGGAGAGAGGGCACCACCAAAAGTGAGGTCTTCTACCCAGGTGGGTAAGAAGGCTTTGTCAGAGAAGTGGGTGCCTTCACGCGGGAGGTGCCCACAATTGCGGGGAGCATGGCATGGAAAAGGAGTGTGTTGGGGGGCCCTCCTCATGGTTCCCTTCCTCCACCCTCCCATAAGCCACAGGTGATTGGTTGGGGCAGAGCTGAGGGACTCTTGCTTTCCTCTGTCAAGGGGAAACAAAACATAACAACTTCCTGTTAAACATGTCTGATTTTTATCTGCCCAGGCACAATTTTGCCCAGACAATATTCCAACAACTGTTGGGGAGACAGTGGGTAATCAGAAATGCTCTCATAACTCCAAAAGACAATACAGACAGTTATCTTTTTTTTTTTTAAATAGTGCAACAATTTGCTTAAGAAATAGAGCATTGGACTTCCCAGTACATTTGAGGTTGGGTGTATGCATCGCAGGCATGGTGGTTGAACAGCTACACTTTTCAGATAAAGCCTCACAAGTCCTGGAACTACCCCTTTCCTAGCTACAAGCCCAGCCCAGGTTTAGCTAAATTTCTGCTTGTTTCAAGTGAGGCTTGGGAGTGCAGACTTCCATACAGTGGGCCCATGGCCAAGCGAGGTAGCCGTCTATGGCTTCCCCCAAGAGAGGACATGGGTCAGATGATGCCACACAACATTTAGTAGTAGCCGTATGGGCCAGCCCAGTGAGGTAGGGCCTTTTGTTTTTCTGAAGCTCCCTCTCCATTCCCCACCCCTAGTTAGTCCATGGGCCAGGAAAGCAGCAGCCATGGAAGGGCAAGGCAGAGCTGGCTCTTCACTTGGGTGCTCCCTGTCCCCCAGGGGAGACGGTAGTGCATGGGCCTGGTGAGGCAACAGCTGTGGAGTGGGGGCCAAACACATGGATGGTGGAGTACGGCCGGGGTGTCATCCCATCCACCCTGGCCTTCGCGCTGGCCGACACTGTCTTCAGCACCCAGGACTTCCTCACCCTCTTCTATACTCTTCGCTCCTATGCTCGGGGCCTCCGGCTTGAGCTCACCACCTACCTCTTCGGCCAGGATCCTTGACCAGCCAGGCCTGAAGGAAGACCTGTGGATGGACAGGAGCGGGCAGGCCCGCACATATCCACTTGCTGGAGCCCATGTTTACAGACAGGGACATACACCATGCAGATCCTGAGTTCCTGCTGTATGAGCAGGGATATCCATGCTTATGTATCCAAACACAGAGAACCATGGGAACTAATGAGACACATATAGATACTGAGACCTGTGTGTACAGTAGGACCATGCATTCATACCCATCGGGATAGGGAGCCCCTGGTATACCAAGGGAGCCAGTTGTGTTCAAACACACACATCACAAGTTTGACTCACTAACTCAGGCCTTTCCAGAGCTCCACAGCTTCCCACCCCCTCCCCACCAAACTGGGGTTCTGGAGTTAAGGATGGGGGAGGGTATTATACTGCCTCAGTCTGACTCCTCAACCCAGCAGCAATTTGAGGGGATGAGGGGGAAGAGGAGCTGCCTTTTGGAGGCACCCTTCACCTGCAGCTATGATGCCCTTCCCCTTCTCCCCTGTCCTCACCATATGCCTTATCCCCATTCTACTCCCCTGCTATGCAAGTGCCCCTGTGGCTTGTCCCCAACCCCCTCGGCAACCAAGCTCAGCTGGGGAACCAGAGTAATGTGAAGAATGCTTGAAGTCAGCATCTTCCATTCCAGAAAGGCCCCCATTCTTCCTTTGGGGATATGATGCAGAAGCTGGTTTCAGACCAGGACCCGCCACTGAGGAGGGGATCTAGGCAGGTGGGCCTGATTCCAAGGGGGCCTTCCTGGCCTGGAGAAGGCCTTTTACACACACAACACACACACACACATCACAGTTTTCAGACAGCCCCTGCTGCATTCTCTGTCCATCTTTCTGTTTCTGTTAATAAAGATTTGTTGATCTGTTCCATCTTTTTGTGTGTCTGAGCAGCCGGAAAAAGCCTCTGACTCCTGGGGACCTCAGGAAGATCTCTCTCTTGCTGTGTGATTCATGGTTTGTTTGTTTTTTTTTTTTTTAAGAGACGGGGTCTCCTCTGTTGCCCAGGCTGGAGAGTGGCACAGCAACATGATCATAGCTCCCTGCAGCCTTGAACTTGTGGTCCCAAACAATCTTCCTGCCTTAGCCTTATGAGTAGCTGGGACTATAGGCAAATGCCACCATGCCTGGTTAGCTTTTTAAATTTTTTTTAGAGACGGGGTCTTGCTATGTTGCCCCAGCTGATCTCCAGCTCCTGGCCTCAAGTGATCTTCCCTTAGTCTCCAGAGTAACTGGGATAACAGAAACAAGCCACTGTGCCTCACAAGACAGTGGCTTTTGACTAGTAGGGACTATATACTTGAGTGTGCCTTAGAATCACCTAAGACACTCTTTGAGTCAGTAGCTCAGACTATTGAGCTCCATTGCCAGAGATCAGCCTGTTCAATGATTCTCTCCAACACAGCTGTGAATGCCACAATTTGAGAAATTCAGGGCAGGGTGGCCTGGAGTGTGTCTTGGCCTTACCTCTGCCGGTGGGATCCTGGGAACAGTCCTAAGAATCTTCCCCTGGATGGCCACAGGGTGGCAGTGTGCATCCACTTTTTAGCTGAAAGGCATAGTTGTTCTCAGTTGGATTTTTTTCGGGGCTCCCAGCGTGGTGTCTGCCCCTACCCAGAACAGGAGTTCCTCCAGTCTATGGTCTACCTTCTTCAGGACCCACCACTAATGTGGAGGCTCCCACAGTGAAAGGCAGGCACACTACCTGGCAGTATGTGAGGTAGGTGGGGCCAGGATTCAGGTAAGGCAAGAGAGGTGCCTAAAGTGCATTCATTCCCAGAGACCCTGCTCTTGCCTTAACTTCTGCATCCTACACACCAAGTATGCCTCACCCTCATCCTGGCCCTGTTCTGAGGGTAAGGCATAGATCACTCCTGCTTCTCAGGATTCCTGGTATTTTAAAAATGGAAGAAACATGGTTATAAAAATTAGATATTTTAAGATTTTAATGAACACAAATCTGAAAGACTATATGTATAACTGCATTTAGAAACAACAACTGAATGTGGAGTCCAGGTAAGTTGGCCATCCTGACCCGGACTCTTCACCCCCATTACCACCGTGTCAGGCATAGTAGGCTCTGGCTGGCTCCTCTCCATTGACCCCAGGTTGCAAAGCCATGCCTCCTTGGGGGATTCCTACTCTGTAACCCAGCTCTGCCTCTAGACTCAGAGTCCACATGTCAGGGATGACCCAGCTTGCCCTGTCATTCCTCCCAAACGTCCACAAAGGGCTAGGCTCCCAGGCCCCTCCTAATCTCTGCTGTTAAATCTGTTGGTCATTTCATAATTCTCAGCTTTCATTTGACACAGGTAATCACTCTGAAGGCACTCTTAGCTTCTGGGACACTACTCTTCCTTTTCTGGATTTTTTTTTTTTTTTTTTTTTAGTAGAGACAGAGTTTCACCACATTGGCCAGGCTGGTCTCAAACTCCTGACTTCAAGTGATCTGCCCGCTTGGCCTTACAAAGTGCTGGGATTACAGGTGTGAGCCACTGCACCCAGCTACTGGATTCCTATCTCCTCATTCTCTGACTTTCTTGGGCTTAGTCCTCAAACCTCTTCTCTGTTTACACCCCTTCCTAGGTGATTCTGTGACTTTACCATCTATATATCTTGACTTCTAAATTTCTGTCTCAGCCTAAATCTCTTCCCTGAGCACCGGAGTTGGAAATCTTACTGCCTTCATCTCTACTCAACATCTCCACTTGACTGTCTAATAGGTATCTCAGATTTGAGATATCCAAAGCAAACCAAATTCCCAACCCCACACCACCACCATCTTGTAGTCTTTACTCTCTGAATTAAGGGCACCTACATTTACCCAGCTGCCCAGAGTCATTTTGGACACGTCTGTTTCACGTCCCAGATGCGATCCATCATCAAATACTGTTTTTGTCTGCAGAATATATCCAGACTCTAACCGTGTCTTCTCACCTCCACTGCCCCCACCCTGGTCTAAGACACCATCATCTGTTGCCTATAGACTATTGCAATGGTCCCTTAACTGATCACACATGCATCCTGTGTGGAGGGTTCTCCTTGCAGCAGCCAGTCAGACTTTCACTCTCTGCCGAGACATATCCAATGGCTTTCCATCTCATTCTGTCCTTTCACTCCTTACAAGGGCCTACTCCAAGGCCCATGTTTCCTCTGATCAGACATTCCAACCGCTCACCCCTTCAGTCCCCCTATTCCGACCCAGTGGCCTCCTTGCTTTTCTTCCAACACATCAAGCAAAATTCTGTCCCAGGATATTTGCACCTGCTATTCTGACCGCAGTGCTCGTCCCAAGGTATCCACATAGCCATAGCTGTCTTCCTCCCCTCCTTCAATTCCTGCTCACTGAGTTCTTCAACACTTATATAATATTATCTCTTGCATGGTGATTTTAAATACCTTCACAAAATTTTTGATGCTCTGTCCTTCAAGAGGTGAAGCCTAAATTCCTTCCCCTTGAGTGGGCTAGACTCAATTATGTACTTTCACAAATAATGTGGCAGACATAACAGTGTGTGACTTCTAGGACTAGGCCATAAAAAGCATTGCTGCCTAAAGAGTCTCTCTTGGATCATTCTGGGGGAAACCAACTGCCATGTTGAGAGGACATACAACCAATCCTATGGAGAGGCCCACATTGCAGGGAAACAGGCCCCCTGCCAAGGGCCATGCAAGTGAGCCATCTTGGAAGTAGATCCTCCAGTCCCAGTCAAACCTTCAGATGACTGCAGCCCTGGCCAACCTTTTTACTACAGCACCTTAGAGGATAATGAGTCAGAACCATCCAGACCCACAGAATTGTGAGAAAATAAATGTTTTTTGTTTTAAGCTGCTAAATTATGGGGAGATTTGTCACACAGCAATAGGTAACTAATGCCCCCCTTCTGTTCCCCCCAACGCAGCTACATTTTTCTGCATGGTGCTTATCACTATCTGACACACTGTATATTTCCCCCACTTAGAATTGTACCATTATAATAAGGACTTTGTTTTATTTGCTCCTGTGTCCAACAGTGCCTGGCAAAAAAATAAAAATAATAAATATGTGTTGGATGAATGAAGCATGGGTCTCTGAAGGTCTAGGTCTGTCTCTGTCTCTGTGAGGTATAGGACCAGACTGTGGGTGTGAGAGGCAGCCTTTCCTTTTCACAGACGAAGAGAGATAAACCAAGTCCCAGTCAAGCATATTCCTTCCCCTCAGCCCTTCCCAGTTGTAGCCCTCCTGGCCCAGACCCCAAAAGTGGATTAACTTCGCTTGATTGATTTGGGAGCTGTGGGAGTGACTGCCCAGTCCCTTGCCCATCAACCCAAACCCTACAAAGCACTCTCCAAACACTCAGAACTGGAATTTCCCCAAGCCAATTCCTGCCTTTCCAGGAAGACTCTGACCACCTACCTTTGTCCATGCACCTTCTCTGAACAGCCAGGGGAAGCTGTGGTGGGGGAAAGGGAGCAAGCAGGGCACAAGGGTTCTGTGGATCGCTACCCTCTGCTCTCCAGTCTTCCAGTAGACTTCCGGGGCATGTCTGTCTGCCTGGCACATTCACTGATTCTCCCCTCCCAGCATCAGGGAGGGTTGGGCAGAGGAGGAGGCTTGGCTCTGCCCCAGGATACTCACACCAAACAAAGCCACAGGGGAGGAGGCATCAGTACCGACAGGAGCTTCTGGAGGCTGGGGGGTTCTGATGGGCTCAGAGGTCTGAAATCTGAGGTGGAGGACACTGGGGCAGCCAAAGGTATGAATGGGGCTGAGCCTCAGCATGGCCAGGAATGGGCCATAGGGAACCAGGACTTAGTGCTGCAGTAGGAGCTGCGCATAGAAGGGTGCAGAGAAGGGTGGTGGCTGGAGGCAGGGAGAGCAGGGAGGAGGCACCCACCATGGGATCCTGGTCAGAAGAGCTGGTGGTTTGAGCCAGAGCAAGCTGAGGCTGAGAGAAGTGGACTGATTGGGGGAGGACAAGGGAAGAGGGAGGACACAAAGGTCGCGTCAGGATTCCTGCCTTCTGGGTGTGAGGTCAGAAGACAGTCCCTGGTGCCACAGTTTCATACCTATGCAGGTGTCACCCCTACAGACACCTGCTGTTCACTTACACACTTGGCATCACCTCACCTCGCTTTGGTAGGTGGTCCCCTTGGGCACAGGAAGAAATAGGAAGTATGAGGATGCCTGGGAGGAGTGGGGTTCAGGCTGTTCAGAGCAGAAATTCTGAGAAGCCTGCCACTCAGAACCCCCAAATAAGGAACGGCATTTCAGCATCTTGGGAATAGTTTGGGGGAGGGCGTAAAGCAGTGGGCTGAGGGGGTCTGGAGATACACATGTGGGAGTCAGGCACACATGAGTGGAGAATGTGTGTGAACATGGGCGAAGTGCTGTTCACTGTTGAAACAAACCTATGATGAGTACCAGAGGTTCATTACACTATTCACTTGTCTGTGTTTCAAAATTTTCATAATACAGGCTGAGCACGGTAGCTCATGCCTGTATTCCCAGCACTTTGGGTGGCTGAGGTGGGTGGATCACTTGAGGTCAGGAGTTCAAGACCAGCCTAGCCAAAATGGTGAAACCCCATCTCTACTAAAAAGAGAAAAATTAGCCGGGCCTGGTGTTGGGTGCCTGTAATCCCAGCTAATCCCAGCTATTCAGGAGGCCGAGGCAGGAGAATCACTTGAACCTGGGAGGCAGAGGCTGCAGTGAGCCCAGATTGCGCCACTGCACTCCAGCCTGGGTGACAGAGTAACACTCTGTCTCAAAAAAAAAGAAAAAGAAAAGAAAAGAAAATGTCCCTAATAGAATGTCAAAAGAGACAAAACCTGTGTGTTGCTGTGTATCTGCATGCGTTGAGTGTGCAGTCAGCTTAAAGACCTCTGAGTGTGTGTGAGTGCATCCTTGTGGGTCCACCACCGTGTGCATGCATGTGTGCAAACCGCAGCATGCCTGCAGTTGGGGACAGCGCGTGGGCAGGGCAGGGGTGGTCAAGGCAAGGGGAGAAGCTTCTATTCTGACCAGACCCTCCACGCACACCCAAGCATCTTGCAGAGGGATTCCCCTCCTGATCGCAGCCTGCCCAGGCCGTTGGCACTGTGGTGACCATGTCACCGAACATGTGAGACTGGGCAGCTGTGCGCCTGAACTTGTGACAAGGTGCGTTGGTGTGTGGACGCGGCTGTTTGTGTGTGGAAGCCCAGTGCTGAGTGTGGGTGTCGGGGCACGACTTGTGAGGCTGGGCGGGGCTCTGGTCCAGAGTCCGGTGGCGGTGGAGCCCTCACTTTCGCACGATTCCCCTGCAGCTCTCCAGCGCCCCCTGCCCCCGAAGCTGGCTGGAAGGAAGGTGGGAGACACCTGTTGGGTGGCTGAGAGCGGCAGAGCCCACAGGGGCCTCTCCCCATGCGCCCCGCCCGCCCTGTCCGGCTCGGGTCCCGCCCCCGCGGCCGCCGCAAGCAACGCGGCGAGTGAGCGCACAGCGGCCAGAGGAGCGCAGGGCGGCGGGAGCGCACCGCGGGGACCCAGCCGAGGCCAGGGCCGCCAGGGAGGCGGGCAGAGCAAAGGCAGCGCCGTGGAGACGCCGGGGGCAGCGGGCCACGCCAGGCAGGTGAGTGCGGCCGCGGGGCCCCCGGAGCGAGGGAGCGGGGCGTCGCGACTCCGCCGCCTCCTGCCCATGCGGTCTCGTGCCCGTCCCAGGCTCTGCCCCACTGCCCTCCATCCCGGCGACTCCTTGGTCCCTGTCCTCTGCCCCTCTCTCCGGCTGTTTTCCCCGTCCTGTCTCAGTCGGTCCCTCTCTATTTCACTATCTCTTTCTAATTTCTCTTTTCTGTCTGTTTCCTGCTGTCTTGGTCTTTTCCTGTCTCTCAACACCTGCCTCACTATTTGTCTATCTCCGCCTCTGTCTCTCCGTTTCTGTCCGTCTCTGAGTTACCTGTCACTTAGGTCTTTTATCTCTTGCTCCTCTACCTCTCTTACCCTCCCTGTCTCTCTACCCAATATTCTATCTCTCTCCATCTCTGTCTCTCTACCCTGTCTCTGCCTGATATTTCTGCCTCTCTGCATCTTGGTCCCTCTCAGTCTCTGTGTCACCCCACTTCTTTCTCTCCTGTCACCCTGTTCCATCTCTATTTTCACATCTTCCTGTCATTGTCTCTGTCGGACATCCCCCCTTCTCCTTTTCTTTCTCTCTCCCTCCCTTCACCATTTCCCGATGTCTCTTGGTCCCTGTCACTCTCTCTGATCTGCTCACTCTTCCAGTCCTCAGTCAATGGCCATTTCTGATTCCCGGGGTCTGGTCCTGTTTCTGTTCACCTCTGGGAAAGCCATCTTTCTGCCTCTTTCCTTGTGACTCCTGCACTTCCCTGAATCCATGACCACCTCCCCCTGTGTTGGGGGCTATGGGGGCAGCAGGGCCCAGCACCCATAATTCCCTCCCCCACAGGCGGCCCTTTCCTCGGGGTCCCGCCTGGTACCAGGGCCCCCTTCAGCTGGGGGACTGCGCCTGGAAGCTGTCATGGAGGCCCTGCAGAAGCAGCAGGCAGCTCGGCTGGCCCAGGGGGTGGGGCCATTGGCCCCTTCACGCTCGCTGCTGCCACCCGGGCCTCCCCTGCCTGACCACCGGACCCTACAGGCCCCTGAGGGGGCCTTGGGGGAGGTTGGGACTGAGGAAGAGGAAGATGCTGAAGATGAGGAGGAGGGGGAGGAAGCCAGGGCAGAGGAGGAGGCAGCTGAGGAGAACCATCCAGGGGCCCAGGGCCCCAGCTCACCTTCTAGCCAGCCCCCTGGACTCCATCCCCACGAGTGGACCTACGAGGAACAATTCAAGCAGGTAGGACCTACGCCCTCGATGTCCGGCCCTCTCCCCTATCTCCCTCTTCTGGCGAAAGCAGAGCCAGGTGATAGCAGTCTCTGCGAGATGAAAAGAGACACAGTGACATGGAGACCTAGAGAAAGACAGAGGGAAGATTGGAGGATAGTGACAGGGAGGGAAAGATAGATGCCTGGCTAATTTTTTAAAATTTCTTTTGTAAAGACAGGGTCTCCTTGTATTGCCCAGGCTGGTCTTGAACTCTTGAGCTCAAGTGATCCTCCCACCTCGGCTTCCCAAAGTGCTGAGATTACAGGCATGAGCCACCATGCCCAGCCAGGTGTAGGGAAGGCAGTCTGGGGGCTGGGGATTCCTACCTACCACCCTACCTACCTTCTCACACATCAAGTCACAAGGTCATATTCCGGGGACCAGTGGGGGTGTCCCAGTTGCTTCCTCTGTCTTCGGAAGCAGAATGGAAGTTATCACTCCCTTGGCAGGTTGATATACCTCTCCTTTCTTTCCTGTCACATCCCCCTAACCCCAGCCCCATGCAAATCTTCTCCCTGGCCTGAGTTCCATGGATGATAGTTCCCAGCCTGTGATAGCCACTACAGCCGCAGTATGACTATAGGGCTCCTCTGCAACTCAGAATGACAAGACTTCATTCACAGGGCGTTAATCTGAGGTTCTTTCTCCCTGGAGAACCCCTCTGGGTGTTATTCTAAGGACACTACTCAAGGCTGTCACTACGAAGGTGTTACACAGGGCTGTGACTCCAGGTGTGCCATTCTGGTGGTGTTAACTTGTAGGATGTTGGTCTGGGTATATTCGAAAAGTGTTAATCTGTGAGTAGTATTCTGGCATTGGTGTAAAACTGAGTGTTACTCAGGGCTCTGTTCTGGATATATGGCTCTAGAGACTGTTTCTCCTAGGTATAACTCTAGGGGTTATTACTTGGAGAGTGTATGTATTATTTGTGGGTATCCATCTAAGACTTAGGGCTCAGTTTTTGTGGGAATGTGGCTCTAAAGGTGGATCTGGGGCTTATTACTCATGGGTATTTTGTTTGTTTTTTATTCTGAGGATTCTTATGGGGATGATGTGACAGAATATTATCTATAGGTGTTACTCAAGGACTGTTACTCTGGGTCAGTGACTCTAGGGGTGGTTCCCTTGGCTGGTATTCGGGAGTTGATACAGGAGGTGGGACTCCAGATTACCAGGAAGAGTTGAGCTGGTCTGTGGGTCCTTCAAACTCTGACCCCACAGGGCCACTGCCTCTCTAGCAGCTTCCGTAGTAGGTAGGGTAACTGCCTCTGAAAGGAAATCAGACCAGAAGATGAGCTGAAGGGCACTGGGTGTCAACCCAGGAGCTTCTGAGCATCACCCTGCCTGAGGGGTGGGTTAGAAGCGTCTCTGCCATTCACTCACCCCTAGCCCTGGCATACAGGGATGTGAACAGCATGAAGTCCTTGCATGAATGAATCAGAGCATCAGATATATGTTTGTCTCCTCAGTCTGGAATACAACCCCAGCCTAGCTTCCTTCCTGGGACTCTAAATTTCCCATGAGGGTGGGGGAAGACTGGGCCCCAGAGGGCAGGCTGAGCCTCCAAGCTCCATCCTGTTCCTCTCTTCCCTTACTCCCTAGATGGGTGGTTTGAACGGCCGAGGGCACCACTACCAGTACCAGTCTCTGTATGTACTAGAAAAGGCACCCCTGCCTGCCCCTAGGCGGAGAGAGCCTAATGCTAATGCCAGGGAGTCCACATTGAGATCCTACTGACTCCTTCAGCTAGGGACCCTTGTTCAGGGTACAACCTGAATTGGGGTCTAGGGAGGGAGGGGGGTCAGCAGAGCTGTAGAATGACCCCAATCCTTCCCCAGCTGTATGAGCTCGATGCAGACCCCAAGAGGAAGGAATTTCTGGATGACCTGTTTAGCTTCATGCAAAAGAGGGGTGAGTGGCATGATGTGGGGGAAGGGCCCTGGAATTGCCCCCTTACCACGTTTGAGGAAACCTGGTTGGGTTCTCCCTGCAGAGGCCTGAGCTTGGCAGCACCTGTCCTTTGGGCCCTCAATAGCGTCTTTAACCTCTGACCCTGCCCCCCTCCTCCACCCCAGGATTAATTAGTGGCCAGCCCACTGACAGGTTAATGAGTGTGGGATCAATTGGGAGGGTGGGAGGGGGAACTGATGGGAGGCTGGCCTGGGGTGGGAGGGTCCCAGAATCAGAGGGCTGAAAATGCTTTAGTTCTCTGTCAAGGGTCCTTCCTTCAGTCATGTCTTCCCTGTTTTCCCTTGATTAAGGCAGGTTGCACCTCATGTGCTCTACAGTAGGAAGGACTAGGATTAGACTGGAGGAAGGACTTCCCAAGGGGCGGGCTGGGGACTATGTGAGTTGAGGCTGTGCACTATGTGAGTTGAGGCTGTGCAGGAGGAGAAATTGCTTTCCAGGAATGTCAGAGCTGGAGGAGAATGCAAGAAGGGTCTAGGAGGGCATCAGGGTGGGTGGCAGTCCATCACTTCAGCTTCTCCCCAGATTCATGGGACGGAACACTGACTCATTATCTCCTCTCTACCAAAGCTAATTAACTCACTCAAGCGCAAACCCTGATATAGCGCTTAATTAACTGGCAGCTGCATGTCCCCCCCCCCCCGGCTTTTAGTGCAGCTGCTGGCCCACTTCCCGCCCCCGGCCCTCGCCCTAGCCCCAGCACCCCTTTCGGATCCCTTGCTTCCCTGGGACCCTCAGTAGGGCCCTAAGTCCTTTTGGTTCCCAGGGAGGCCCATTCTGGTTCCAGTGTCCCCTCTCTGGCCCTTCCTCGAGGCCTCCCCTCCACTGGGGTAGCGGGTGTGAACCGATCTCAGCATTGCCTGCCCGCCCCTCCCCACTAGCTCTGCCTCCCTTCGGTCCCTGCCTCCCACCGCTCCAGTTGTAGGGGGAGGGGGTCCCGCGGGGCCGATAATTTTCCCCCATTAATCAGGCCGCAGCTAATTGTTCGGGTCCAAAGGCGCGGCGGAAGGGGACGGGATCGGTAAGGAATTAACTGGGGCCCATCGCTCAGCACAGACAGGCCCCTTTGTCAGGACTGGCCGGCGGGGGCGGCGCGGGCTGCGGAGTCGGCGGGCCGAGGCGGGAGCTGATTCTTCTCCCGCCCGTCATCCCCCAGCCTTGGGCAGCCACCCGGGGGCTGCTGCTTAGGGGAGGCCGGCTCTTCAGCACTGTCCGGAAGTCCTTCCTGCGGTCTACCCCAGGGGACAGCAAACTAAAGTTTGCAGGCCAAACCCAGCTGCCTGCAAGATAAGAATGGTTTTTACTTATTTAAATAGTTGGGGGACAAAATTAAAAGATGAATAACATTTCCAGACTGGTGAAATTCGAATTTCAGAGTCTATATTATTGGAACACAGCCGCATCCATTCCTTTAGGTATTCTCTATGGCCGCCTTTAGGCTACAATGACAGCGTTGAGTAGTTGTGACAGAGATCATTTAGCCATCTGGCCTTTTACAGAACTTTGCCCACCCCTGTGCTAGCCTCCTGTCCTTCCTGCTAAAATAGAGGCCCTGGGGTTCCGTGGGCTCTGCCCAAGTCTCCCTCTTTCCCGCCCTCCCCGGGGCTCCCGCCCCGTATCAGTCCCCGGGGATGCTGTAGACAGGGTCTTAGTCTCAGTGTCCTGACTGCAGCCCGCTCCCCACCAGGGACGCCAGTGAACCGCGTGCCCATCATGGCGAAGCAGGTGCTGGACCTCTACGCTCTGTTTCGTCTGGTGACCGCCAAGGGCGGCCTGGTGGAAGTCATCAACCGCAAAGTGTGGCGGGAAGTCACGCGCGGCCTCAGCCTACCCACCACCATCACCTCGGCCGCCTTCACTCTACGCACCCAGTGAGGCCAGGGGCGCTAGCGGAAGGGAAGGGGGCACGGGGTCGGGCTGGGGCGGGGAGGGGAGGGTCCCCGGGCGGGCGTCCGGGTGTGGGACTTGACCAGCTGGGCCCAGACACTCCCACACACTCACCGCCCACTGTCCGCCCCTAGGTACATGAAGTACTTGTACCCGTACGAGTGCGAGACTCGAGCGCTCAGCTCCCCAGGGGAGCTCCAGGCCGCCATAGACAGCAATCGGCGCGAAGGCCGTCGCCAGGCTTACACCGCTACTCCACTCTTTGGCTTGGCAGGGCCGCCCTCTCGGGGCGCTGTGGGCCCTGCCTTGGGTGCCGGCCCCGCCCCTCGGGCGACCCCATCCAGCCCCGGCCCCGCCCAGGGTTCCGCCTCCGGCCTGCCAGCGCACGCATGCGCTCAGTTGAGTCCAAGCCCTATTAAGAAAGGTGCGAGGGGAGAATGGTGGAGGTTTAAGGGTCTCTGAGGTTTAGGTGGGCGCTAAGATATAGCAACCATTAAAATGTGGGGACTGAGGTCTGGGAGCAGTAAGGTCTGACGGGGCCTCTGAAGTTTGGGGGTCACAAAGGTTTAGGGGTCCTGAGGTTTGCGGTCAAATGAGCGCTTTGGGGTATGGGTTACTGAGGTGTGGGGGCTGAAGTTCAGGAAAAGGTCCTTTTTTTTTTTTTTTTTTTTTGAGACGGCGTCTCCTTCCGTCGCCCAGGCTGGAGTGCAGTGGCGCGAAGTCAGCTCACCGCAACCTCCGCCTCCCGGGTTCAAACGATTCTCCTGCCTCAGCCTCCCGAGTAGCTGGGACTACAGGCGCCCGCCACCACGCCCGGCTAATTTTTTTTTTTTTTCTTTGTATTTTTAGTAGAGATGGGGTTTCACCATGTTAGCCAGGATGGTCTCGATCTCCTGACCACGTGATCCGCTCGCCTCGGCCTCCCAAAGTGTTGGGATTACAGGCTTAGCCACCGCGCCCAGCCAGGAAAAGGTCTTTTAATCACAGCAGCTCCATTCCACACCTGTCCACCCAGTGCTCCTATTTGCATATAGTTTGTGCCTCTTGTGACCTGGATTATTTAATAACCAACAGTCGAAAACAACCCCCAAATTCTCTAGACATGTACATTGATCCTTTGGGCTCTAGAGAAAAGCTTCAGCGCTTCCAGACTGAGGCTCTGGATGGGAAGATAGATGGAATGAAGGATGAGAGATTGGTACATGAGCTTGAGTTACCTCTTTTGGTCCCAGGCCTGGGGGAGAACCAAATGCAGAGATGGGTTGGTTTGGCCAGGGGAGCTGAATAACCTGTTCTTCCAGAGGAGAGTGGAATTCCAACCCCTCGCCTGGCACTGCCTGTGGGCCTGGCATTGGGACCTACACGGGAGAAACTGGCACCAGAGGAGCCCCCAGAAAAGAGAGCTGTGCTGATGGGGCCCATGGACCCACCTCGACCTGGCATGCCCCCCAGTTTCCTGCCCCGTGGCAAGGTTCCCCTGAGGGGTGAGGAGGGGTTTGTTGTGAGGGGGCTTCGGGACTGTACACTGAGGGAGGATTGACCCATCACCTGATAGGTGTTAGAGACGGGGCAGACAGATTCCTTTATAGACAATTGTGTGAGTATACGTGTGGGGCTGAAGTGGAATGGGGGCTGTCTACAGGGATGGAGGGGGGAAATTCTATTAATAAGTCTGAAGTCTGATTCTCCAAAATGTGATTCCTCTGCCCCCTCCTGGACAGAAGAGCGGCTGGATGGGCCTCTTAATCTGGCAGGCAGTGGCATCAGCAGTATCAACATGGCCCTAGAGATCAACGGGGTGGTCTACACTGGTATGGGTACTGCAGGCTGTCTACACTGGCATGGGGTCAGGGGTATTTAGGCTGGCATGGGGATTTTAGACTTCCTCTACTAGCATGAAGTTCAGGGATATCTAAACTTGCATGGGTAACGTGGGGTTCAGGGGATTGCTAGACTGGCATGGGTTAAAGGGGGTGCCTACATGGCATGGGATCCAAGGCATGACCTCTCTGGCATGAGTACCAGGGGATGTCTGCCTTGTCATGGGCCTATGTATCAGCATAAATATTATTGTTTACCTGTTTGAGGGTATCTACATTAGCAATGGAGTCTCTTACTGACCCAAGGAGCTTGTCCTCATTGGTTTGTGGCAGGGGTACGTGTGTAGTGTTCTAGCAACCAGAACACTTACTTTTGTTCCCCTCTTCTGTTTCCATATCCTACCCCCTCCTGCTTGTTTTTGCCCTCTACCATCTCCTCACCCCTTTGCCAGGTGTCCTCTTTGCCCGCCGCCAGCCTGTGCCAGCTTCCCAGGGTCCAACCAACCCTGCACCCCCACCCTCTACAGGGCCCCCTTCCAGCACCTTCTCCTAAGAGGTCCTACTTGAAACTAAGAGTCCCAGCCCCATTGCTGAGTGGGGAAGAGTCCCCCTGCTTTGATTCTTTCCGGCTGCCCACTCTGGGACCCAGCCCTGGGAGGGGACCATACCTCCCATGCCATGTAGACTTAAAACCAAAGTTTCTTTTGATGTTACACCTACCTCACTGTAAAGGGAGGGCACCTCCTCCCCGGCCAATTCCAGCAGCATCTACTAAAGTGTTCTTCCTCCAGTAACCACTATCATCTCCTCATGTGTCCCTTCTGTCAATGTCATCTCTAGAACCCTACCCCTTTGAGTCAGCCTTGCTTCTCTTCAGGAGCCAAGTGAAAGGTTGGGTTGGGGTACTGTGAAAGAGACATCCCTCAGGTCACATCTAGACAATAAAGCTGCGATCCCTCCCTCTCTGATGCCTCCTTTCTTGTTTGGGTATGGGAGGTGGGGAGGAATGATGTGGAACATGGGCTGCCTTCGGCCAGGGCCTTTCAGAGGGGAAGGCAGAATAGCAAAGTTCCGTGAGAATAGAAGAGCTCCGTCTCTTGAATCAGACAACCTGAGTTCAAGTCCCATTTCTGTCCCTATAGTGCTGGGTGACCTTGGGCAAGTTACTTAATCAACTGAACTTTAGAAGACTCCAAAAGTTTATGGTAACTCACGGAGCCTTCTAATGATGTATCTATGGGAATGGACCTACCCTGGAACACGTGCAAACTCAGGGAATGGCGTGGGGAAAGCTCTTTGGCACCCGAAAAGGAAAGGTTGTCTTGACAACCAGGCGCTGGAAGCCGGGGAGGGCTGGTACAGAGCCGTTGCCAAGGTAATCAGCTTTTCACAGCTCCAAGCAGTAAATTCGGGTACTGAAGGGCTGAATCATGACGTCACTTCCTGCATAAAGGGCTGCTCGTGCACTCGGATTGGCTAGCCTTCCTATTTGGACGGACGTCCCACCCTCTGGCCGTTTCCCGGCTGAAGTGGGTCGTTAGTGGAGATGGCGGGTCTGACTGACGTGCAGCGGCTGCAGGCCCGAGTGGAAGAGCTGGAACGCTGGGTGTACGGGCCGGGCGGGGCGCGCGGCTCGCGGAAGGTGAGTAGTCTGGTCCGGTGGTCCCTTTCTGGAACAGAGCAAGAGCGGTCCACTGTCCCGGCCCTCGGGATGCAACCGCTCCAGTCCTGTTCTCCGCAGCCCGGCCTTTGAAATAACAAAGGTCTGGAACCTCCCAGAGCTGATTGGACCCTCGGGGTCCATTGTCATAGGGGGCACTGCGGGTGGTTAAGCTAGCCTGAGAGTGGGCTCGGTACCTACTGTGGCTGAGACTCCACCCTTGCCCTCGCGGGCTGTAGTTGGGGAGACCTGACACACTCGAGAAGCTGACTAATGAGAGTTTCAATAAAAGCTGAAGTCCACGATAGGAAGTCCCGTCATGGAGCCCTGCGTAATTAACTGCTAAATGAATTGTGCAGGAAGAGGTCCATGGGACCCATGAGGAGGCAGAGCAGAGGTGGATAAGGAAAGCTCCAAAGGGTGAGAGGTGAGGTCTGAAAGGACCAGGATAAGGAAGGGAAGAGATTGGGTACTGGGTGTTCAGATGTGGACTAGCACTGCTTTATACCAGTGACAGAATTTTGACAACTACGAAGCTCAGGTGCTCTCTCCTCACCTTTCTACTATGGGAAGACCTTTTACTGAAGAACTTCTAATTGCGTGTCAGGCATGTCCTGGAGCTAAGTGCGTCCAAGGTAATGATGTCTGTTTGTACACTAAATGAGGAATTAGTTGTCACTAGCAGACTGTGCTCCCATTTCAGAACTAACTTCTCAAACATTCTCTTCCTTTGGAATCAATGACACTGACCCTCCTGGTTTTCCTTCTACCTCTTAACTACTGCTTCTCAGTGTTATTTGCCTCCTCCCTGGCATTCCTCATCCTCTACTCTAAAAACTGGGTGAGTGGAGTCACTTCCTTAGTCTCCTCCTCTCTTTGACCTTTTAATATTGGGATTCTTTACATTCTACCCCTAAACGTTAGGTAGGCTTACTCGCTTCCATGGTGTCAATTACTATTTACGTGTCAATATGTCTCAAATGTATATCTCTGGTCCAGATTTCTGTTCTGAGAACCAGACTTTCATGTCCAGTTGTCTACTGGATTTTTCCACTTGGTTATCCAATAGTCATCTCAAACTCAATCTGTATGCTCTTAACTGTACTCTTTTTCTCCCCTAACCTGATTCTCTTCTGTATTCCCTAAGTCAGTGATTGTACCATCATTGGGATCCCAGTTGTTTGGACTCTTCCATCTCTCACACTAAATTTGATGTGGAGGGGATAGGGCTAGAGGTAGGCCAGCCAATCTAGAGCTCATGAAGACTTGAATGAGGATGCTTGCATTTCTCATGCCCAAACCCAGGGCTTAGGAACCAGAAGGTATATTGTGTATACTATATATTCCATAGACTCTAAAATAGTTCATTATCTTCCCCATCAGACTTGAAACTCCCCAAGGAGTACATGATTCTCTGTCTCCACTTTGAGGATTCCTGGAAGATGGGGCTGCATCTCTTTTAATGTTAGAGAAGGGAGGCCAACCTAGATTACTGGGATTCAGGTTTGACAGTCTAGGAGAATGAGGGTTATTTAGCTCTTCCAAGCCTTGAGCCAGGTAGTATATCTTGGAATTAACCACCACTTCCCTTACAGGTGGCTGACGGCCTGGTCAAGGTGCAGGTGGCTTTGGGGAACATTGCCAGCAAGAGGGAGAGGGTGAAGATTCTCTACAAAAAGAGTAAGTGCTTCCATGATGTGCCTGCCTGCCTGACATCCCATCCCTAGGCTTCCTGGGACCTGGCCCTAGCCTTTCAGTTCATTAAGTCACTGGAATAGCCCTTTGGGGATAGAAAGATTATGAGGACATTTACCTGCACCCAATTCGATTGGTAAATTGGGGTGTGCTTTTCTACCTTGTGGCTAAACTTCAAGCCCATGACAGTGTCCTTAGTTATGAGGTAAGAGCTCTACCTGAAAGCTTCTCTTGGTGAAGGAGGGTAGAAAGGGTATGGGATTTCCCAGGCAAAGTTAAGAGGCAGGAAACAAATTAGACACTGAGAGCCTGGTTATGTCAGAGCTAGTAACCTGCTTAGTAACTAGAAATTAGACAAAGCTCTGGCTTGTCTTGTTGACATCTAGGAGAAAAGAGGCCTTCTACCCTTGATAAGGATAGGTCAGTGAGAATGCTGAGGGCCCAGAGTGGTGGTGGCAATTGTGTTTTCAACTCTGAAGCTTGATGTCAGAAGAGACCTCAAGAGAAGAGAGTGGAGAGATAGGGAAGTGGGGATAGGGAGCCTGGTGGAGCCCTGCTCAAGCAGCACTGTTGGGTATCAGCTCCTCATTGAAGGCTCTCCTCAAGGCTGACCACTTGTCAAACATCCTTCATAAGGCAGTGTTCTACTGCCCAACCCTATTCCATTTCCCATCTCGCTACTTTTCTAGTTGAAGATCTGATCAAGTACCTGGATCCGGAGTACATCGACCGCATTGCCATACCTGATGCTTCTAAGCTGCAATTCATCTTAGCAGGTAATGCTGGACTACATGTGTACATGCATCTGAGGATATGGGTCATTGGGGAGGTTAAGCACAGAGATGGCCTCCCCATCCAGTCTTCTGATGGATACAACCCCTGGATGCTGCTCTCTGGAATTGTGGCCTGGTTCTGGGTTGAGGATCCAGTGGATCCTCTAGTAGACATTGAGTACAGTATACCTCTGGGCCAGCTGCAGGCCATGGTGCCAGCCATAGTGGGAGCTAGTCCAGTGTTCTATCAATAGCCTGCCTCTTGGATTTTCCTTCAGAACCTTCCTCACTTCTGCTTACTAGACAGAGGAGCTTCTAGGAAAGGATAGGGGCAGAGAGCATTGCCATTAAAGAAAAGAGAGAGTACTGGCATGAGTTTCAACATCTTTCTTTCATGTGAGAAAGCTCTGCAGTTTCAGAGTTCTAGGCAGGAACTATTGCCTTGGCAATGTCTGCTAATCAGTCAGCCATTCTATAAGCTAGGGTTTTCTGAGCTTTGTTATTCATCCAAAAGATGTATAATGATCATCTACTCTGATCCAGGTTTTTTCCTAGGTGAGGAGGCATACACTGGTGAACCAGAAAGTCCCTGCCCTCGTGTGTACAGCCAGAGCTAGGGGAGACAGGGTCTCTGCTTCAGGGACCTGAGCTTATAACCCAGATGGGAGATCAGTCTCCCAGGAGACTGATCAGTGCAATGCAGCACTGAGGACTGGGTAAGGATGGGCCACTCCTGCTAAAAGGGCCGTCAGAGTTCCCAAAGGGCTCTTGATCTATTGCCATGGCTCAAGCACCAAGTTTAGATATTCTCCTGCACTGACTCTTGAGTCCAGCCTCTCCATCCCTCCCTGTGGCACTGCCTCAGGAATTGTACATCCACTTGCACATGAATGGTTGCACAGTCTCCTAAATCATACTGTCGACCCTAATCTTTCCCTTCCTGCATGTGGTTCAGTCTCACCTTCACAAAAACATGTTTCCAGCATGTCACTTGGCCTACTTTGGAACCTCAGTGTCTTCTGCCTTGTTAGGATAAATTCCTAATTCCATAGTCTGCCATTCACAACCTTTCAGTCTGCCGGGTCTACCTTCCCATCCAACTCTGTTTCCTCTGCTCTCCCTGCTCCAGTTCAGCTAATGGAATTCTTTCTCATCTACTAATTGACAAGCATTCCTGCCTCTAAGCATTTGCACATAACAGTCATCTCTCTTGAATAACCTTCCCACTCTGTGGATTTCAGTGCATTAAAATCCCCTGTGCATATAGGGCCTAGCCCAGATCCTGCTTTCCTCACTGGACTCTTCCATTACTGTCCCAGCAATCCTCCAGCATATAATTGTCTATGCCTCTGAGAGCCCCTGAGCAGAACCTGCCTGGCATAGTCTGCCAGTATCTCCTCTTTTAGACCTTCCCAGGGACCCTTGGGTGTGGGGATCCAAGTCTGAAGTACTTTGTATCCTGTGGCGTAAGAGGTGCTCCCTGAGTTTGTTGATAGGAGGCTAGAAAAAGAGGCCTTAAAGTTAAACCTTGGAGAAAGGTGGGATTTGGAGGAATTCAGAGGCTCCTTAGGCTCAGATGGGTCAGACCTGAGGCATCCAGGAGAGCTGGGGGCAGGATGGAAATGTGCACCTAGAGAAGGGGGTAGTGGACAGAGTCACTGTCCAAAGCTCTAGGGCCTAGCCATCTCCCTTGCCAGGTCCTCAGGCCCTTACATGGGCTGAGTAGCAATGTTTGCTTCACTGCAACTATCTTGTCCATTTTTGCTTTAGAGGAGCAGTTTATCCTCTCCCAGGTTGCACTCCTGGAGCAGGTGAATGCCTTGGTGCCCATGCTGGACAGTGCTCACATCAAAGGTATCTCTCTGGGGTTGTAGCTTCCCTACTCTGGTTGGGGAGGTAGGTGGATGGATGGGCAGGACTTTCCTGTGTTTCAGGTTATGTGGATTCGGGTTGGGTCTGTTCCTTATCTTTTTTCTTTTTCTTTTTTTTTTGGACAGAGTCTTACTCTGTCACCCAGGCTGGAGTGCAGTGGCATGATCTTGACTCACTGCAACCTCTGCCTCCCGGTTCAAACAAACCTCCCACCTCAGCCTCCCAAGTAGCTAGGATTACAGGTGTGTGCCACCACACCCAGCTATTTTTAGTAGAGATGGGGTTTCACCATGTTGGCCAGGCTAGTCTCAAACTCCTGGCCCCATGTGATCCACCCGCCTCGGCTTCCCAGAGTGCTGGGATTATAGGTGTAAGCTACTGTGCCTGGCCTGTTCCTTATCTTTATCCTCACCCTGAGGTACTTGCCACATCCATGAATTAAAATTACCAGGGTAGAGAGCCCAGTTTTAGGACCTCAGACAATTTGGGCCTGAGAACACTAGCCTAAGTTCTAGCAGTCCCCAGCTCTGAGAATTCCTTCTACCTTCTACCTACCCCCAAGCATCTCTCCTTCAAGGTGCTGCAGAACCCAGATTTTACTATCAGAGTCTCTGCCAGGTCCGTGAATGTATGTGAATTCTTTTTGCTGCACTGCTGAGACAATCCCTGGGCCTGGACTTTGACAAGCAGACAGTGGCTTTAATTGAATCCAGATATCCATCTTGTCTGTCTCTGGAGGTATTTTTCCCAGCTCCCCCTCCCTACTCCTGATCAGCTGCCTGCTGAATATCTGACAGCCTTAAGCTTTGAGCCCAGCATGGTGGCCAACCCTCGGGCTGTTGGATTCCAGCTTAGGGACCTGGCATCCATCTTCAGGCTCCCTGTTCCCTAGACCAGGCAGACCTGGCCCCACTGGGCTGAGAGCAAAGGGACAGGTCCTATGATAGCCAAAGCTCTCTTTACCTGGTCCTGCTTATAGCACTGGGGTGGTGGTAGGGAGCAACACTGGGAACCCCAAGGTTTTGTCTTCTCCTTAGGACATGTATCTTCCCCTTCCCTATGGGTCCTGGAGTAAGACTGGAGTGGGCAGGGAGCCCCCACCGCCACCTCCAGCTGCAGCAGTCAATGAAGTCTGGCGTTTGTTTAGCTTCTCCACTCAATACTCTAATCCTGCCAAAGACCTAATAGACTATTGAGCAGTCCCGGGGGAGGGCACAAGCATCATCCAGCAGTGTGCGTTGTGTTTTACAGCCGTTCCTGAGCATGCCGCCCGCCTGCAGCACTTGGCCCAGATCCACATTCAGCAGCAGGTATGGGAGGGGAGAGGACTAGAAGGGAAGATAGAGGTGGCACAGCACCTCATCCCCACTCATGCCACCTGGGGAAGCAGCTTCAGGCCCTTCGGTTGTAAGCTCAGAAGAAACTTTGAGGTTTATCCTTTATCTTGCATGTGCCCCAGGGAGGTAAAGGGACACATGCAAGATAAAGGATAGGTTCATGTCCAAACCTTCTGCCTCCCAGAGCAGGACTTTACTGAGACACTATAAGGTTGAGGCTGGGAGGTACCCAAGAATTCCTGGGGATTGTATGTCCTTGACTGTGGGTAGAGGAGCTCTTTTTTCACTATTCCCAGGCCCTAGTGTAAAGTTCAAAGAGAGTTCAGAAATAAGGACAGAAGAAGAGGAGACATATACTAGGGGGAATGTTTACTTAATGTATGGCCACTCCCTTTCCCATCAGTCTTTGGACTGCTGTTAGGGCACCCATCCTGGAGCCTGCAAGTGCTCCCATAGCCATTTGCTCCTTTGGCATTGGGGTTAAGCATCATCTTTTTTTAGGCTCCATGGGGAGTGGGAGTCCCTGATAAGGCAGGAAGTTTAGTGGAAGATGTGGGCTTTGCCAGGCTCCTTTCTGTGCTGCACTTTGGCCCTACAGGACCAGTGTGTGGAGATCACTGAGGAGTCCAAGGCTCTCCTGGAGGAATACAACAAGACTGTATCCTTTCTGCTCAACTAGGACCCTAATGGGTGCTGTCCCTAAGCCCTGTCCTTTTGTTCCACCTCTAGCGTTCTCTCATCCTATCCCACCCACCTATGTTTGCCTGTTCCCCACTTTCCATGCACTTCCTCACTCAGACTCCTATTCTCACCTTGACCTACAACCAGACAATGCTTCTATCCAAGCAATTTGTGCAGTGGGATGAGCTACTTTGCCAGCTAGAGGCCGCCAAGCAAGTGAAGCCAGCAGAGGAATGACAGCTGCTCCCCATCCCAAGGTGGGCCTGGGCAGTCAGGCTCCAGGGCCCTATGCCAACCTGTCTTTGTTACAAGGCAGAGGAAGCTTTGTATTTATTGGATTCAAGGCCCACCTCTCTACTCAGGTGGAGCTCTAAAGTTGGAGGTCAGGTGACCTGAGGTTTGCAGTTTGCAACACCCACGCTCCCCCCCATCAGTGTTCTTATTCCAGTGACAATAAACCATAGAGATGACTGGAGGAGTGTGCTAGCTTCTTGGTCTAGGATGGGGGTGGTGGAGGGCAGAAGTGGCAACCTGCCTAATCGTTGGACTGGGAACTAAACTCATCCTGGTTTGGCTTTCTGACAGGTGTAGAGCTCTCAAGATGAAGGCTCTCATTTGATTGTGTGAATAGGATCTTCGTTTATCCCATATTTACCAAGAAGAGACCTCCAAATATCAGATGATGGGAGTAGATAGGGCTCACCTAATCCCTGCCCTGCACAGGCTAGCAGGATAGACAGTACAGGAAAAGGGCGGTCCTATCAGGTGGACACAGAAGAAAAAAGGGACTGAAGGGACCTGGTGAGTGATATCCAGGGACTTTCAGAGCCAAGGGAGCAGCATGTGCAAAGGCCTTTAAATTTCTCTCTTGGGAGGCTACCTGCTACCACTAGCCGAGAAGGGCAGCCTAAGAAGTTTGGATGCAGGAAGTTTTGGTCCTGGGGAGGAGAATTGGGGAAGTAGGGGCGCTGCGGCAAGCATGTTGAGAAACAGATTGGCACTGTACTCCACCAAATGTTTGCTGCCCCCTTGTGGTCTCAGGGACTGCTCTGGCTCCAGACCCTTTTTCCAACGGCCCGCTGGCCGCCCCGCCTGTGCGACCTCTCCGGCACCTCAAATTCAGCGTGTCCAAACCGCTCTGAAATCTGGGAGTCATCCTAGCTCGGAATTTCCTACTTCTCTGTCCAAACAGTGGCCAGCTTGTCACTGAACCTACCTACTAGTATCTCCCAACTTAATCTTTTTTTCCATTCCCACTGCGATTTCTCTGGTTCATTAATGTAACAAATCATTTAACAAATATTTGAGCGCCGGTCATACGCCAAGCACGATACTAGGCTCCGTGGGCACCCCCGCCGCCTCAGCCCCCAGACTCCGTGGCAGGTGTCGTCAGGGGCTGCGGCCCGATTTCCCCATCACTCCCTCCTGGGCTCCCTTCACAAGATCTGGTTCGACTGGCCCCTGGAGAACCCCCGTGGTCTGCCAGCGCCCACAGGATGAGGTCGAAGTTCAGAAGTCGGTAACTAAGGCTCTTGCCCGTGCAACAGCAGCCACTCCAAACTGACGCCTTTGTTCGCACCCACGGTGAAACCCACTGCTCCCGCTTTGCTCAACAGCTAACACCAGCCCTCCCATCTTCTAAAGTCCAGATCCCCCTCCTTAAGACGCAGGAGTTCCCTGACGGCCGCTCCTTTCTACGGCAGGGAACTACCCTGCCTCCTTCCGGGCGTAACAGCGGAGGCTGCGCTCGTTTTCCCACATCCACTGGGACTGGTCCGGGGCGCCCTGGCCGGCGGGTTTCCCGGGTGGAGATGCCTACGGTCCAGTCCCTCATGCCCCGCCCCTCATGCCCCGCCCCCTCGGGGCGTGCGCGGCCCCGCGGCCTTAGCGCACTCCGGGCCCGTGCGCCATCTTGGCTCCGGATCGTGCGTGAGGCGGATTCGGTGAGAGCCGGAACCGGGCGGGCAGAGGGATACTCGGAGGGTGGGAGGACGCCTGCTGCTTGGCTGCAGCGGCCGGCAGGACCCTGGAAGCGACCGTGGCTATGGAAACGGCCAAGGCTGTCTTGGAATAGCCTGAGCAGCCCTCCGAGTCGAGCCTCTGCTCCCGAATTTCTGAGTGACCTGGGTTAATATGGATCGACCCTGGTAATCTCTGGGAGAGAGGCTCAGTTCTGTTTGGGGGCAGCACTGGGTAAGAGTTCTTGGCTGTTTCCCGGGGGGGCCTGGGGCTAAGGGCCTTGTCCCTGTCCTTGTGAGGAGCGCTCTCTATTGGTATTAATCTGGGGTGAGGGTTCCAGGCCCTGTTCCAAGGGTTCCAGGATAAGGGGGGCTAGGCCCCAGTCCGGGAGAGTTTGGGATGAGGGGGCCTGGCACTATCCCAAAGAGCTCAGTGTTTGGGGAGTTTGGTCGTGCCTCTGGGACTCCAGGATTGGAGGTGGGGGTGTTATGGCCCTTGTAGAGGAACGGAGTGTATGGGGTACAGCCCTTTCCCGGACGGCGGCAGGCATGGTCCTTGTCACAAGATGCTAAGGACGAGGGGACATGATCCTGTTTCTGGGAAGTCTGGAACGGGGAGCAGGGCCATATCCTGAATGGAGATAGGGGATGGTGGACAGTGATTTGGGGCATATTGCTTAGCACTCATCTGATGCTTCCCTGCAGTGGGCAGCGAGAGTCACATTCAAGACAGCAAGCAGGATGGAGCACTACCGGAAAGCTGGCTCTGTAGAGCTCCCAGCGCCTTCCCCAATGCCCCAGCTACCTCCTGATACCCTTGAGATGCGGGTCCGAGATGGCAGCAAAATTCGCAACCTTCTGGGACTGGCTCTGGGTCGGTTGGAGGGCGGCAGTGCACGGCATGTGGTGTTCTCAGGTTCTGGCAGGGCTGCAGGAAAGGCTGTCAGCTGCGCTGAGATTGTCAAGCGGAGGGTCCCAGGCCTGCACCAGCTCACGAAGCTACGTTTCCTGCAGACTGAGGACAGCTGGGTCCCAGCCTCACCTGACACAGGGCTAGACCCCCTCACAGTGCGCCGCCATGTGCCTGCAGTGTGGGTACTGCTCAGCCGGGACCCCCTGGACCCCAATGAGTGTGGCTACCAACCCCCAGGGGCACCCCCTGGCCTGGGTTCCATGCCCAGCTCCAGCTGTGGCCCTCGTTCCCGAAGAAGGGCTCGAGACACCCGATCGTGAAGACCTGCTGAGCCAGCCTGTTCTCCAGGCCTGAATGTCTGGGATGCTTGTGCCTTTTCTGAGAAGCCCTGTGACTGTGCAAATCCCCATCAAGGTTTGAGTCCACAGAAGTGGACTTCCCTGTCATGCTTTCCCTTCCCTCTAGCATGTGGGAAGGGACTGCTGTGAAGAGTGACAGGTGTGGGGCCTCTGCCAAGTTTCGCGTTGCTCAATAAGGGCTTACTCTGCCTTCTACCTACAATGCATCTGAACTGCCTTCTGAAAGAGGTCCAGGGAGGGATTTAGGAAATAAAGTTTCTACCTATTTGATGAGCCTCTACTCAGCCTGCTATGTGGAGTGGGATTAGAGAAATGGGAGTCCCTAGCCTTACCCCCTGGGAGCTGATCCGGTGAAGACAGAGGAAGAGTAGGCTCAGGATGTTGCTGGGAGAATCTAGTGTGGACAAGAAGCCTCAGTCAGTACTAAATATATCTAATTCCCTGGGTAGTTATTTAATCCTGCTTTGGCCTGGTTTAGGAACACTGCCAGGTCAGACATTTCTCTCCATCTGCAACTTACAGTATAGTATAGTGGTTGTGAGCATGGACTCTGGTACCAGTCTGCCTGCGTTTCAATTCTGGTCTGCCACTTACTAGCAAGTTACTGCTCTGTGTCTTAGTGGTCTTATCCATAAAACAGGAATACAATAGTGCTTATCACATAGGGTTGTTGTGAGATTAAATAAGGAAATATACATATATGACATTTAGATATCACCTTGGCACATAGTGCTATTAAGTGTTAATTGCTATTATCGTTATTAATGATTTACCTATCCCAAATGCAACAACTGTTTCACACCTCCTTCCCTCCAGCTTCCTTGTCCCAGTCTCAGCTATGGAGCTGGACTCCTGCTTTAAAGAGATAGAAGCCTTCCGAACTCCCTCATGTTCCATCTTCACCTACAGACCTATCTGTATAAACATTTATCCTCAACTCCACTAGTTTGCAAACATGCTTTTTCCTGTCTTAGAAACATATCTTTGGGTTGGGCACAGTGGCTGATGCCTGTAATCCCAGCACTTTGGGAGGCTGAGGCAGGAGGATTGCTTGATCCCAGGAGTTGGGGACCAGCCTGGGCAACATAGTAGTGAGACCCTGTCTCTACAAAAACATCTAAAAATTAGCTAGGCACCTTTAGTCCCAGCTACTTGGGAGGCTGAGGTGAGAGGATCGCTTGAGCCCGGGAGGTTGAGGCTGCAGTGAGCCATGATTGTGCTACTGCACTTTGGCCTGGATGACAGAGTGAGACCCTGTCTCAAAAACAGAAAATAGGCTGGGCGCAGTGGCTCACACCTGTAGTCCCAGCACTTTGGGAGGCCAAGACCAGCCTGGTCAACTTGGTGAAACCCCATCTCTACTTAAAATACAAAAAATTAGCTGGGCATGGTGGTGCGTGCCTGTAATCCCAGTTACTTGGGAGGCTGAGGCAGGAGAATAGCTTGAACCCAGGAGGCGGAGGTTGCAGTGAGCTGGGATTGCACCACTGCACTCCAGCCTGAGTGACAGAGCAAGACTCCGTCTTGAAAAGACAAAATAGGCCTGGCATGGTGGCTCACCCCTGTAATCCCAGCACTTTGGGAGGCCAAGGAGGGTGGATCATGAGGTCAGGAGTTCGAGACCAGCCTCGCCAACATGGTGAAACCCCCTCCCTACTAAAATACAAAAATTAGCTGGGCATGGTGGTGTGCACCTGTAATCCCAGCTACTTGGGAGGCTGAGGCAGGAGAATCGCTTGAACCTGGGAGGCAGAGGTTGCAGTGAGCCGAGATCATGCCATTGCACTCCAGCCTGGGCAATAGAGTAAGACTCCATCTTTAAAAAAAAAAAAAAAAAAAACAAGACTGGGCGCGGTGGCTCACGCCTGTAATTCTAGCACTTTGGGAGGCTGCAGTGGGCAGATAACAAGGTCAGGAGTTCGAGACCACCCCGACCAACATGGTGAAACCCTGTCTCTACTAAAAATACAAAAAAAATTAGCCAGACCTGGTGGTGGGCGCCTGTTATCCCAGCTACTTGGGAGACTGAGGCAGGAGAATCGCTTGAACCCAGGAGGCAGAGGTTGCAGTGAGCCGGTGAGATTGCACCACTGCACTCCAGCCTGGGCAACAGAGCAAGACTCCGCAAACAAAACAAAAAAGGCCGAACACGGTGGCTCATGCCTGTAATCCTAGCACTTTGGGAGGCCAAGGCAGGCGGATCACCAGGTCAGGAGATTGAGACCATCCTGGCTAAGACAGTGAAACCCCGTCTCTACTAAAAATATAAAAAATTAGCTAGGCGTGGTGGTGGGCGCTTGTAGTCCCAGCTACTGGGGAGGCTGAGGCGGGAGAATGGCGTGAACCCTGGAGGCGGAGCTTGCAGTGAGCTGAGATTGCACCACTACACTCCAGCCTGGGCGACAGAGCGAGACTCCGTCTCAAAACAGAAAGAAAAACAAAACAAAAAAACCCCACCTCAATCCCACATATCTCTCCAGGTCTCATCCTTGCCTTTTTTCCCTTTGCTGCTCCTTTTCTGCTTCACCTTGGCCTTAAACTCTCAGGGTCAGGGGCATGAGAAGAGAAGTGAAGGTTGCATTAGTAGCAGGGGGTGCTGCGGGAACTAGAGCAGGATTATGGGCGGTAGTGAACTCTGAAGAATTGAATCGGTTGGATCTCCCATGGATCTTGAGATTTTCTCCAATGTGTCCAGCAGCCTGGGTGTCCAGTCAGGAAAGCAGAAGGTTGGGGTTCTTCTGGGCTCACATTGTAGTAGAATGTGTAGTAGAATGTGTAGTAGAATGGGCCTAGCAATGTAAGGATGTTGCACTTAGCTGAGACCAGGCAGGAGGGATTGAGAGGGAGAGAGAATTGGAGGACTGAAGGCCTTGATAAGGGCTTAGAGGAGGGGTGAGGTGACCACAGGGCCAGCAGGCAGTGGTAAAAACTTTAAATACTGCATCCTTTGCTTTCAAAGATAGGTTAGCTCTGAGTGATGTGGAGGACACTGGGGAAGGGGTACGTGATGAGGATTCAGAGGAGATTAGGAGAGAAAACCTCAGTGGCTGCCAAGCCAGATCTCTCAAATGCACAGGGTCATGAAGCATCTCATACACTCCTAAAGGGAATTATGGCTGTAGTGGCAGTGACTCAGGTGTCTTGCTGCCAGCAACTGACTGACTTCCCCCATTCTCCTCTCAGCTAATTCAGGGATTTTGTTCCCTCTCCGCTTCTGCATACTGCTTTTTCTCTGAACATCTTCACTTGTGTGTCTTCTGCCATCAGCAGTTCTGTGAGTAGCATTGGATCTCCGGAGCTTTGAGGCCAGGCTACCTTGCAGACTATTGACCTTTGGCTGATGATCTCATCCCATCTGCTGATGGCCAAGGTGGAGGGATCACATGGAATAATCATGGTGATCTGTGCCGAAGGTGGCATTGCGAGCTCTGGAGTCCCAGGAGGGGCATTTTCTCTCCCTCTTTGGTCTCTACAGGGCCCAGCTGGGGCCTGCAGGAGGAATGGCAGGGAGGGGACCAGAGACATGAGCCCTTTGGAGTCAGAAAGGCTGATCAACTTTACAAGAGAGCACAAGAGTTGTGTCTAGTTCTGTCCACTTTCTCCTTAATTCACTGCAGTGTGGCTTCTGCCACCATAAGGTCATGTCTTGGCACAAAAGGTAAGGAAGTAGAGACAGCTCTTTCAAGAAATTGGATTGTGAATGGGTGGAAAGGGGTGATAGACAGCAGGAGAGGAATGTGGAGTACAGAGTGTTGGGTTTTGTTTTTGTTGTTATTATGGTTGTTGTAGTTTTTAATATATTAGCAGGGACTTGAGCATGTTTATAGGCTGACAGACGGAAGAAGCCAGTAGGGAAAGAAATGAAGGATGCAGGAGATTGTGGATAACTCACAGCATGAGGTTCCTGAGCAGGTAAAAGTGAATGGGATCCAGAAGCATGGAGGTAAGGGCCTCCCAAGCGAAGAGGAGGGATGACTTCCTGTAACAGGAGGGATGGAGTTGAGGGGACAGATATGTATGCAGATAGGTCTAGAGGTGAAGATGGGACATGAGGGAGTTCAGAAGGCCTCTATCTCCTCAAAGCAGGAGTCCAACTCCATAGCTGAGAGTGGGGCGAGCAAGCTAGAGGGAAGGATGTGTGAGATAGTTGTTGCAGTTGGGAGAGGTGACTAGGGAGAGGTGACTAGGAGAGGTACAGGAGGATGACCAGGCAGGGCTAAAAGCCCAGTGTAGGCTTTTGACCATGAACTTGTAGGGCCATTGGTCAGGGTGTGTGAGCTCTAGCAGCACCCACAGGATAGGTGAGGACTCAGAAAAAGCAGTTACATTCTCCCAGACTGACTTTAAGACAGGTAGGAATGATGGAAAATGCATGAGGAGACTAGCAAGAGAGTACATGTAGTGAAGGACCGAGGCATCCAAACTGGGCCAGGAGGGAAGTGAGGGAAAGGGGACAGGAATCAGTGGCCTGGAGATCCCCATGAAGATGGGGTGGAGTGAGATGGACTATCCTAGGACAGGAACGTTGTAGCTGTATGGTTTCCTAGGCTGCCGTAACAAAGTGCCACAAACTGGGGGGTTTAGAACAACAGAATTTATTGTCTCACAGTTCTGGAGCTGGAAGTCTGAAATCAAGTTGTTGGCAGGGCCACACTCCCTCTGAAATCTGTGGGGGAATCCTTTCTTGCCTCGTCCTGGTGATTTGCAAGCATCCTTTGGCATGCTTGACTTACAGGTGCATCATGCCAATCTTCATGTGGCATTTTCCCTGTGTCTCCACCCCATCTTCCCTTTTTGTGTGTCTTTGTATCCAAATTTCTTCGTTTTGTAAGGACACCACTTACATTGGATAAGGGCCCACCCCAATGACCTCATTTTAATTTGACTATCTCTATAAAGGCTCTATTTCTCAATCTCTCTCTCTCTCTCTCTCTCTCTTTCTCTCTCTCTCTCTCTCTGTCTCTCTCTCTCTCTTCTTTCTTGACAGAATGTGGCCCTGTTGCCCAGGCTGGACTGCAGTGGCGCAATCTCGGCTCACTGCAAGCTCTGCCTCTTGGGTTCACACCATTCTCCTGCCTCAGCCTCCTGAGTAGCTGGGACTACAGTCACCTGCCACCACGCCCGGCTGATTTTTTGTATTTTTAGTAGAGATGGAGTTTCACCATGTTAGCCAGGATGGTCTCGATCTCCTGACCTCGTGATCGGCCTGCCTCGGCCTCCCAAAGTGCTGGAATTACAGGCGTGAGCCACCGCGCCCAGCCTAAAGGCCCTATT